CAGACTAAAAAAAAACGTTTTTCCTTTTGAATATTTTATCCCTCAGTGTGTTCATGCAGTCTGGTGATACTACATGGTAAAACATTACTTATTAGTGCTAATGCACCCAGACCCTGATACTGCTGCTACTGAGCGAGGATCAGCGGTGAATTGTACTTACGATTTTGATATGATCACTGAAGCTGATTTTACTTTGAGGGTCTCCTCTACTGACCTTCGACAATGACCTCAACCTCAGGTGCTAATAATCCCAGAAGGTCCCACTTGTGTTTAAACAAGGACCTCCTCAAGGGAATCCCTAAAGCTATTTGAAATGTCCGTCCATTACTCTGCAAACTCAAGTAGCCTTTTGCGCCATTGACCTTTGACCCCATATGACTAATGTAAAGTCAAGAGGAAATTCTTACTGTGAATTTATCATAAGCTTTCACCACTGCCTCTTGAAACACAATTCGAGATCAGGTGAAACAAACCATTCAACATTTGTCTAAATCATCGGCCTACAAATAAATGTCTCAATTACTGCTATTCTCAGTTACAAGGGAAAATGTGCTTAATAGTCTTGGACTCCCTTTGAGATCCCCCTTTTTTCCCCTGAAATGGACACTTTAGTCTTTCAAGTGCCTTGTTGAGAAATGATAAAGTCGTATGTTTTTCCTCCACTGCCTGACATCACACATTTTCCTTTATTTTCTTCTTCTTTTGCCAAAGTACACCGTCTTATATTCAGGTACGCTTTCCAACTTGAAGGTAACCAGTATGACAGGCCAAGTAAAAACTTTAGGTTAAATTAGATTCACTTTAAACTTAAGGCAGATATAAAATTATTATAAATAAAAACTAAAGCTTCAGGCAGCGCTGAACAGGCTTTCACATCTACAGGCACGTCAGGTGTTGTGCAGCCAAAGTGTTAACACAAGGAGCTTTGACACGGCTTATGATTACCATGTGTTAATGAAATGTGCAAAGTATGAAAACGCCTTTTCCTGTGTCCTCTATGTTATGGTAGAGATGACACATTTAACACAAATTCATGAGTCTGAGGCTCTTCTTTAACTGAGGCTAAGCAGCAGGGAGCAGCAAAAATACCTCATCATTGCACCTTTGTGAGTTTACATTGAACTAACAGCAGCATGACGTTGGTGTCCAGGTGTGTAATTTTACTTGGTGAGATGTTGTCGCTTCACATTCATACACATACATCTGCAGCTGTTTTTTTTTTTCCAGAGGGCTTCAACGTTTATAGATTTTTGCATCTCCACTATCGCACCAGCATGAAATATTTTTGACACAGTAGCATAACAGAGGGCGCAATAGTCCTGCCTTCGACAGGCAGTGTTCAGGGGCTTAACCCTGTGTCTTGTTGCTGCTGCTGTTTGTTTTTCGACTGAGACCCTACTGGACAGAGAATTTTTTAATTTTCAGTAAAACAGAACCGGCTGGGTTTGGTTTCCAACAAACTTCACTCCAAAATAGGACAAAGTTTTAAAACACAGATCCAGTGATTCTTGTTTAGGACAAAATAGCCCATAATCAACATGCCCCTTAGCTATGCACCAAACTAAATCATGAAACAAATGCAGATTTTGAATATTGTATCTGTCATATTGAATAAGTTAAGTCCACTAACAATTAAGTTATGTGATTCATTTTTAAATCACCAGTTAAAAGTGTGTTATTATACAATTAGTCTTCAAAGTGAAAAGATAAAGCCTATTTTTTTCTCCTTCAAACCAGTAGTGTGGTGAGTGTGACAGTGGACCAGGCCAGGGTAGAGGTTAGTGTTCATTACTCACCCCCACCGCCCTCTTTTCATGGAGAGCACGTCTGAAATTCCAACACTGACATGTGAAATACAGACAGAAACTCCTACAGACTCACAGCGCTCAGTGCTGCTCCTCCCAGTTGGACACAACCATCAGCTTCAGAAATTACGGCACCAACACAAGTTTGATTCTCACGATAATCTTTTGGTCAAACAAATAACATGTAAATGAGTGATCTTAACTTTTAAGGCCTCCAGGGGGAAACCCAGTGTTTAGAAACATAGTAGTTCATGGATAACTGCTGAAAAAGTATGAGTGGATAATTTTGTTTATGAGCTCAAATATAATGGGAATTTCTTTTTTTATTGAGCCTTTTTGAAAAAGTCAACACTTTTTGTTTTACAAAGTTTTGCAGAAAGCACATGAAAGATTAGAGTGAATTAGTGTTTAGTAGTAAAAAGTATTCCTAAGTTTGCATGTACAAATATTTGTGTGAATTTAAATGGAGGGAGTTGATGTGAATATGTATGTGTATGTGGACAATATACTGTATGCATCACAATAATAATCCCCTCTCCAGCCCAGTCACAAGCCACGTATGAAGTGCTACTGGCTGGTAGCACAAAGCCCAGCGTGAAGCTCATGTGACAGCATTAACCTTGCAGCCCTAATCTCCTACAGTCATGGATGAAAGTGAACGAGAGGGAGAGAGGGATATCAGGAAAGTGAAAGTTAGATGCAGCTCAGAAAAAGACAAAAAAGTTAGCAGAGGAAAAGAAAAAAAAAATCCAGATATATTTTGTTTCTGCTCTAAAGCCCTCAGGTCTACATTTCTATCTCTGGTTTGTTTTGTGACAGAGAACAGAGACTCTTCATATGCACAAGTACAGATTTGGCACAGAATTGTCAAGTACATCGAATGGAAGCGAAGATCACTGTGCAGCACCCCCTGTAGCTTCAAAGGAAACACATGGACCACAGAGAATAACATTGACATGTTGTTATACCAACACTGACAGCAAAAAGACTCTATTATTTCCATCGTTAGTTTTGTAGCTCGGAGCAGGCTGTCAATGTACCCGCTGAGGAGCCAGTTGGATAGTAAGCTGCCAGGTCAGGAAAATCATTGGTTCCATGACACAATTTATAGTTTTGTCACGCTGGTCTTTTGGCATGAGAGTCAATGGAGCATCAGCTGATTTCACTGAGAGGCCAGCCACATAAAAGCTTCCCAGAGGCACTACTATTATTGGCCAGACCACAGTGCGACCAGGAAAAATGTCTTAACAGAGTTGATATCTGCTTTAGGAGGGATATGATTCAAATTTCAGGTTTGAAACTGGCTTACTTAAAAACATTTCATTCCTTTCAAATCAAAAACTTAAGAATCAATCTGCACTTCACATGAAGTCAATAATGAAGGAATTGGTGTGAAACTACGATGAGGAACTTTCAGTTTGCCTAATTTTGCATCGCCAACGGACAAAGCTGTACCTCATCCCTTTGTTGATTCTGTCCAGCATCTGTGTAGGTGTTGCTGTCTCAATGACGACTTTTTTATGCCCAAAATACAAAAATGTCTATTTCTGCAGCGTGCTGTTAATCTTCCATCAAACACCTACCTTTTGGCAGCGGTTTCAGACCTTAAAAATAACTATTTAGGAATTGTCAATTGTTATGCTGATGGTCTTTTTTTGTTTTTTAAGGCCATAAATATGTATAAATATTCATTTCTGTTTGTTTCAAGACCAACAAAAAAATTATTTGAAGTACCTTTAAGTGTAAATTGAAACATTAATGTTTCCATACTTAGCTTAACGACATATTACAAACACTGAAATAGAAGATGGTATTTAGAAGTTTAAAGGTAGGTGTTGTTAATCTGTTCTACCAAGGCTTTCTGATAACCTGTTTTGGTTTACTGAGATGATCTTTACTACACCACTAAGTTATTTCTGAGACATTTACCAATGTCCAAACAGAGAGCCATTTTGTAAAATAAACAAAGCACTAGGTTTTGATTTAAAAAAATACTTCATTACTGAGCTCTAAACCTACAGCCTGGATCGGAGTGTCTCCCTGCATTATAACAAGCATCAATATCATCTCACTTCCATTGTTAACTGGCACTTTGTCACTGCAAAGCACAGATGCTCAGTCTCATACCTGGCTGTCTCAACAGAGGAAAATTTCAACACTTCGGTCCAAGTGTTTGTTGTGTACACTTGGGATGTCTCAATGATGCTAACCTGGATATGAATGCAAATAAACTGCTCCACAAAAATTCAACTGGGACTTTCCAATAGCCTCTGGCAATACACCGTGGTCGACACTGTACAGTTACAGATAGATACCAATCCATGTTACACCTACTTTCAATTTCCATGTATTCCTGCACCAAGCATAGTTTTGCGAGAGTGAACAGACACACGCTAGACATACATGTAACAAACATGGTATGTATTACATAACACATGGACTTCCATATTAGATAATACAACAGTTGGAAACCATGAAGCATCCCCTTGTCAATCCTAACTACACAAAGGACTGGAGATATCAAAGTATACTGTTAAGTACAGCAGCAGAAAGAGTGGAAATTTTGAGTGATACATATACCTGTAACACATACAGACACAAAAAGCTATTCTACAAGTTCTATATGAAAGATGAACCACAAGAATATGAAATTCTACTGGGTTCAGTCAAAATAATGCTCAACATTTACTATGATCATGCAGTACATTTCTGTTGCATTAAGATTGACTCTCTCCAGCTCTTTGTCAAGTCTTTATGGTAGCATCACTCACACCCAAAACTCACGGCTCACCTATAATTGCTCTTCCAGAGTTCATTGTGTGTGTGACATGCCGCCTGAGTTTCACCACAGCCCTTGTCAGGGTCTCAAAAGCACTTTACATCGACATGCTACTTTACTGCCTCCCCCTCGCTCCCTCCTCATCTCCCTCAGAAACACCTGGTGGTCTGAAGACACCTCTGGCTGGCAATATTTAACATGGCCGTGTTCATTTTTTCACCCTCCCTCCTTTTAGCGTCACCTGTTAACATTTCCCTCCCTGTCCAACCATCCAGAGTTTACACACTCAGTATATGTCCTCTGGTGGAGAACACACTCACACTTTGCTTTTGAGAAAGGCTGAGGGGACAAAAGGGAGCAAGAAGTGTTTCCCTGGATTGTTTTGGAGTGTATTTTTTTATGTTACCTCTGACAACATGGAGTATCGCTTTTTAAAAGGATTCTTAGTGGTTTTGTTGATACAACACAGCACTGGCGAAGGTAGGATGGCATTATGCAGACAGGTTTATTTATTTACATGACAGCATCTTTACAGTTACATATCCAGTGGTTAACTATGTGTGATGTGTTATGCTTTCCATTTGCATTTTGACACAATACATGAATAAATTACTGAAAGCATTTTTCCTTACCAGTCAATCTTGAGTAGTCCAGTTTGTGTAATAAAATGCCAAAAATGTCAAATACTATCTCCTTAGATCTACCTACCTCCATCCAATCATCCACAACACTCAACCTCCAAGAGGGCCAGACCTTACCTCAAGAACAAGAGCTGCCCCCTGCAGAGGTGGTACCCGTGGTGGCCCCCCCTAGTCTGGAAGAGGTGCAGCAGGCCGTGCAAGAGGCCTCTGAGCAGGTGGAGGGACGTGGGGCTGAGGAAGTACTAAAGGAGCTGCTGGAGAGGGTGGTGGAGGCAGCTCTGGGGCAGGCGGAAGGAGGAGGTGAACCAAAGGCAGAAGAGTCACTAGAGCAGGAAACGGTGGAGGAAGCAACTGAAACTAACACAGGGGAAGAAGTGTCGGAGCAGAGAGTGGAGGAAAAGACGGAGGGTGAAGACAGTGACCCCGAGGAAGCAGAAACTGGTGTTGGAGAACAGACGGTAGCAGAGGATGAAGCACTTGTCGATGTAGATGTGGAGGGGAAAGAAGTTATTGATGAGGTGGTTACGACTGCAGCTGAATCCATGGATGATGTAACAAAAGTTGTAGAAACTGGAGGCAGTAAAACAGAGGGGGTGGAGGTTATTGGTGCATCTCCAGACACCATAGTTAGTCAGGAGGTTGTAGAAGAAACTGTAGCTGCTTTAGGGGTGACAGATGGGTATTTAGTGGATGATGCAGGCGTGGAAGACAACAAGGAGCAAGTTCTGTTGTTGGATGAAAAAGAAGCAGCTGAGGCTGAAGCACAGGTGGTGGAGGAACCTCCAGCTGTTGTGGAGGTGGCAGTAGATGGAGAGACAGAGCAGGAGACGGTGGTAGAGTCAGATTCAAGCCTGGAAGAAAAGATAGGGGATGCAGGGGGAGAGGAAGTAGTGGTGATGGAAGAATCTCTGGTGGAGGGAGAGGCAATAGTCCCAGTTTCTGATAATTCTGAGATGGAAACAGCACAAACAGCAGCAGAGGAGCCAGTAGACGAAATGAAAGAGGAAAACATACTGAAGGACACTTTGGGATCAGAGGTAGAGGGCGAAGAAGGCCAGTTATTGATGGAGGAGGAAGCAGCTGGGGAAGAGGTAGAGGTAGAAGAAGCAATTGCAAGGACAGCAGAAGGGGGTGAAACCCATCGAGATAGCATATCAGAGGAGTTGGATTTGGTAAATGAGAGTTTTGATGACCAACGGGCCGAAGAAGAGGAGCAAAATGTTCTGGAGGACATGCACGGCAGTGAAAACGAGGAACAAGGTGAGAAATGTAAAGCAATGGAAATTAAATCCAGACCGAGCATGTGCAACAAAACTCAAAGAGAGAAATAAGGCTATGCAGGGGTCTTATACTTACAACTGCCCTATAACGTATATCTCATCCATTTACATCCCATATAAGTAATGGACAATACTTTTTAAATTGTTGTATTTCTCTATTTACTTTTTAAAATAAGAAGAACTTTATTCATCCCCAAAGGGAAATTCAATAGGATAAGTCCTATCATCAATAAGTCCTATTCATAAATTTGGTCATACAAACCTTAACTGCAATGGTATTTATCTTAAAACATTGTGCTGCATTAGACTCAGCAGCTTTATTTAAGCTTACATGTTTTGCAACTTAACCTACTTTGGGAGGGGAAAGCTCTTGGAGATTATTAGCCTCTTAATTTCACTTGACAATAACAATGGTAACAAGCTCATGTCCTGAAAAGCTAAAATTAAAACGTTGAACATTAGCTGCTCCAGCTGTGTTAGCTGTGCTTTTTTTGTCAGAGATGTTTTTATGCTTTTTGGGGAAAACTCTTGAGAAAAATATTTACTCCAAATCTCTTGACATGAGCATGAATCATTTATCAGACTGAACTTTTAAAATTCACAGAAAGCCCACTGATTGTTGTGACACACGCTAGAGCTGGTGCTGCGAAGACACTGACGAGTTAGCTTACACGCACTTTTAAGGGAATACAAATTACGGTCCACTTGCAACGCTGAGCTGCGGCACATTTACGCTTTATTCTACATTCCAAGGGTCCACTTAACAGACCCTAAACCTTGGCCTCTTGGCTTCATTTTCACATGTGTGTCACATACCAAACCCCTCTTCTAGAAGTGCTGGTGATCTCTGCCCCAGAGCCTGACAATGGTGCTGACGTCTCCATTGAGCAGAGGCCCGAGAACCAGACGCCAACCCAGAGTCTGTCCTTTGGAGAGGTGGAGACAGTAGAAAATACCCTCGATGATCAGACACCTAACCATGGCAACAAGATCATCACTCCCACTGATGAAGCTCTGCCAAATGACCCTGCTGTGGCCGAGCCTACGCCGGATAATTTTGTGGAGGGTGTTCTGGCTGCAGTCCCTCAGGGAGAGGCCGAGGAACTCAGAGAGGCCAACGAGCAGGTGGAGGATGCAGCTGGAGCCACAGGTAAAGAATGGAATAGAAGAATACACCAATGGCCATGAAATCATGAATCCCTGGGCAATCTAATCTAACTGTTCTTTAAAGTAATTTCTCAGGTTGTCGTGAATTTTGATGGTATCAAAAAAACTGGAAATTAAAAAAATTAGAAGGATTTGTGGTTGAGCTGTTAGACCGGCTAATAATGTTATAACTATTTGTTATATTTCACATTACATAACAGCTCAATCAGTCTGGTCTGTACCAGTCCTTTCCTTGTGCCCCAATAAAGAAAGATTCGAGGGGAACTGAACTTTCAAATAACACTGACAATAACTGCGGATCTCAGTGCAGTTTCTAGACTGTCTTCCTGACTAATATATTACAGCAGACTTTCTGCAGCTTAAAACTTGGGTGGAGAAAAGACGGGGGAAAACAGATCATCATCATGATTCTGCCAACTAAATATGCAGATGGCCAACTTGATGTTGTTCCATTTGAATAAGTGGTGAAGCAGCCTAACAACACATTCTGTGATGAAATATTCCCAAACTTTCCAGTCTACCACAACCAGTCAATGCAATTTGCAAATTTCTGCTTCAGTAAAATGATAGAATAATGATTATGCCCTTTTTTTGCCCCTGTGCATCACAAATGATGGGTTATCAGAGCTATCCAAAAGCTTTTATTGGAGTTGTTTTATTTTTATCAGATTTCATGTCTCTCGGGTTAAATTATGGTCTCTTTGGACCTCCGAGTCCAATGTCTCCCTGATCCTCTGCCCTCCTTATTTTGCTTTCTACTTCTCTGTGTCTTTTTAGGGATGAATGAGCTTGGCCTGGAGTCCTGGAAGATTGGGGCCATTTCGGCTGCTGTTTTCCTGGTTTTGGAGACTGTTATCATCATTATCTATATCCTCAAGTGTCGAAACAAAAACAGGTAGGTATCCTCAGGTTCAATGCACCAGGAAACACTCGTCTTTAAAAAAGTTAGAGCTGCAAATTAAGTGTTTAAGTGACATCTGCTTCAGGCTAAGTTCTTTTTGCTGGTATATATTGAGGAAAATTGAGCATCTACACACTCAATAGCCACATATAAGAATGGATTTACATATTATGAGTGGGAATCAAAATAACACTTAGCCTGCACTCACACTAGCAGCAGCCATATCCCTGTGCTTCTCCTCTAATAGCTGAAATAAGCCATCTGATTGCTAGCTGTAGTACCAACAGCGCTACAATCACAGATGGGACTTACAGCAGTACTGGTACATGATTGCTTCTGATGTTGCCCGGGCTGCAGCTCACATTTCCACACTGATAGATGATGACATTAGGAGACTGCATTCAGGTCTTGTCCACTATTCTTCTCACAAAAAGAGGATTGTGTTTCATCAGTAATGTGCTGTACTAGTTTTTCATTACTGGTTTGTCATAGTCCAGTGCAACATGTAGTTAATTTGTGGAAGGGCAACAGTCAGCAACAATAGCAATATGTGAGAATTTGTGTCTGTTTGTGTATGTGTGTGTAATTTGCAGTACCCCGGCCCTGCAGCGAGCATGTGAAGAAGGGTGTGTAGAGCCAGAGGCAGCTACAGGAGGTGACTGTAGCGACGACACACTCCCTGCAGGCAATGGGGACACTCAACAGTATGTTCACATATTAACATCTTTTAACACCAAAAGTGGTTATATGGATCACTGCATGCATAAATTCATACAGATGTGTCATAAATTAAAGGAAAGCTAGATGTAATGGCCCACAACAGGCTGCCAGAACTGCCTCGGTGCCTCTGGACATAAATTTTCCATGTCTTTGGACTCTACCTGAGGGGTGGACATCATTCTTCCAAAATCTATTTGCCCATTTGGCGTTTTGATGATGGTGGTGGAGAGCGCTGTCTAACACATCAGTCTGAAATCTTCCATAGATCTGGTGACTGCGAAGGCCATGCAACGGCATACAATACACATACTTTAAAAATTTAATCAGACAAGGTGTCCACAGACAGTACCAGCAGCTCCTAATGAACTGAATCAAGCCCAGATCTCATTGTCAGCCAAGGACAAACATTTGTAAACATCTTAGATTTATAGGGGGCGATAAATAAGTACTCAGGTCTCATCTAAACCATTCCAAGGTTGGCATGATCTCACTCAGCTTAGCCAGTAACTCTTTGCAAAGAACTTTTTTTTTTCATTCTACCGATTTACTCCTGGAGTTTGATCTTTCTCTCCCAACAAACTGACTTTTACCATACAAACACCCTCGTCACTAACACTAGCCAGATGTCAGACACGTCCATTGTTGGACAAATAGATGGGGTGCACTGACCTGAAAACTTGTGGTTCACAGGGACTACCAGTTATGCGCTTCTCAGCTGATTCCCTCCTGGCTGTTTAGTAAGCTAGGCTGCTCACCGGGTCACATGCGAGTGTGAGTCTCGTGAACTCAAAGCATTTCTGGGTAATACTACTATTTGAACTAATAAGACTAGCAGGCTTGGATCAATAATAAGCCAAGGATGTGTGTATGTGCTTGGGGCGTTCCAAAGAATGGGGTGAGAATGTGGGAAAATATGAGACTAAAACAGGTCAGAAGTCAAGACAGAGGCTGAGAGTATTTGAGTATAGGAAAAGAAATCTCATGAATGTCTGTCTGTTGCTTTAGAAAGTGTGCAAGACACAAAGAGAAATCTGATGCGTGCCGAGCACAGACGATAACAAAACAACACTGAATTATTTAACAGTCATCAGTGTCATCTTGAAATGTGTCCTTGTTAAGAGATTTCATTGCAGCAGTGACAATCCAGTTGTCATTGCAAGAGAGAATCAGTGAAAACACTTCCAAGAAACCACAAAAGTCACCAGAATGATATCTAAAAGTCACATCTTTTAACAGCAGTACCGTCTCCACAATGTCTGCTGCTCGTACATACAGGGTTGCCTGACACCACAGTGAGCAGCAAGCAGATTCAGTCACTGTAGATGAACACTGAAAGCCAGATAAAAGCCACATGGAGACTATGTTCAGTTCAGAAGTTGTCTTTGACCCATTTTTTTCCCCAGACAAAGACACATTAAGAACATAAAGGCAACTTGTATTCTCAAAATGAATACTGGCATGAAATCCATAAATATAAGTATTTATGCACTTTATTTTTCAATAAGGACTTTCATTGAACCTAACACTGGGATGGTTCAGATAGGGGTAGGAGAAAAAAATTGATACAGCATAGTATTGCAATATTTTGTCTGGTGATATATCGTATCGTCTCAATGACCAAGTATCAATTTTTCAAATTAATCGCTAATATGAAGTCAAATCTATGATAATGGAAAAATGAAATCAACTGTTTGTCCAGTGAGGTTGGCAGAGGTGACATCATAGAGCAGAAGAAAGTTACTACAACAAATATATATATATAAGGTTTGCAAGATGTGCTACATGATAATAAAATACAGCGTAAATAAGACAAACATAAAGGAAAGACAAATGCTAAATTAGCTTAACAGTTGAAAATATTTGTATAAATTGCAAAATATTGAATCGCAGTACTCATTGCAAAATGTTAAAAATCGCAATAATATCGAATTGTGGCCAAAGTAACATGATAACATTGTATTGTGGGGCCACTGGTGATTCCCACCCCTAGTGTCAGACTGCAATCCTAAAGCTAACTTCCTTTATTTCTCCTTACATTTGATAAAATATGGCTCAATATATCATGTATATCACTTTACCATCTGGGAAGTAGAAAGGCGGGATATGGTGAGGGGGGTGGGGGTTGAAATGGAAAGGTAATTAAGCAGGCTCAAAAACTGAAAATAAAGACAAGTGAGATCTAGAAGTTAATTAACTAAAAAGGCTGAATCTCCTAAAATAAGTAATGATACAAAATGCTCAACATAACAAAACAGCTCCAACCTGACCTAGAAAACGCTGGTACTCTGGTAGGACTCAAGGTAGCAGAGTTTTACTGAACACAGTGTAAGATAACAACAGAAAAGCAATGAATGACCACGGCACACTCTTGACAGTGTGATGCCTTTATACACCTGGTGTGACACTGGGGTTAACGCTTTGGATACCCTTGAGTGTAAATCATCTAAGCCGGCATATTATAACCCAAACAGCACTTTCAGAAACTCATTCATTCAGGATACTCCATCACCTGCTATTAGTCAATAATGTCAAGTGATCTATCTATATCAAGTGGTGTCATTTAGTCTCAGAGTATCTTCTTCCAACACAGTTTTTAAGCGTCTCCATCTGGTGCTGAAGTCATTAAATAAACAGACTCTATTCCCATTTACTCACAGTGCTGTATTCAACAGCAGCTCTACAGCCATTAAGAAGACATTAAATTTCATTGTGTGTACATTCTACTGGTAGTCTTTGGATCTCAACAGAATAGATTTATGTAAAACAACTGTGAGGAAACTGTTCTTTTAATTTTTCTAGGAAAAACAAGTATAATTGTAGATCGCCTCAATTTACTGTCAGTGTATGTTTATTTATGTTATATGACGCTAAATCTTCTCTTCTTTGTGATATATTTTCTCCCAACTGTAAAATAGCTTCTCACTACCTCACTGTCCCCTCTGTTAGGATAGCAGCACTCGACCCATCTGATGTGGCTTCGACTCTGATCCAAAACATAGAGAAGCACCAAGAAGAGAACGCGATAGCCATGTCAAACCTCCCACCCAGCTCCACTGTGGAGTCGGGCACCACCGGACCCACCCCAGACTCCTCACAAGACCTCAGAACTTCCACTCTCTAGGGGGTCCGACTGTTTTGCTTGTTCTTACTGTTTCCAAATAAACCCCCCAAATCCACCAATCATCGATTGTATTTTGTTTTCTAACTCTTGTCAACCCAACAAAGACTGCCTGCATGGATTTTGACTGTAATAACTACAGTTTATGTCGTACATTTACATTAGGTGTAACCTCTGGCTGGATGCTCAAGTGAGAGTGTTTGTATGTGTGTGAGAGTGTGAGTGAGTGTTTGTCTGAAATCAAAGAAACACATACAGCAACATATTTGTCAAGTGTTTGAAAGTGTTGAAGAAGAGAATTGCATTAACAGATGAGAGCTCCTGTGTGAACCACCGGGGAGAGCATGTTTTCAAATACGCTGTGCATGTACAATATGTAAGAAGAGTGTGTTAATGAGGAAAAACAAGTTGTTTTTTAAGTAGTTATGCAAACTTTTGAGGCTTAAATAAAAATGTTAAATGTTTCTCATATTGACCACATCAGTTATGCTGTATGAAGCTGCTGAAAGTTAAGCAGGAGGAAGTGAGTGTAATCAGTTTTCCCATTTTATCAGCAGTTAAGTAAGATCGATCAGGATCTCGTTTGAGGGAATCGTGCCGGACTTAATGTGTAACACCAGCCTACGAGAAAATTACTAATTTTTTCACGATGAAAGTGTAAAACTTGATTTGATTTTTATTCTTCATAACTCCTGAAATATGTGCCATGATTTGTGAATCCCAAATTAAAACTGTATCTTTAATGTTACATTGCTCCTTGTCTGACAAATGTTATTGTCTTTATCAGCTCAAGTTTAAACAAAGTGTTGGTTATCTACGCACACAAAAATGACAAGTTATGAGGAGTGTTTCTTACGCTGACACTTTGCTGAAAGTGAATAAATGAACTTTAGTATGACTCAAGCTTGAATTGGAGCTCACAGTTGGGCCTTTTACTGTGAACCAGGACTGGCGTCACTGGGATCACAAGGCAAAAGAATGGGTGTTTGAGAAAAAGCTTCAAGCCCCGAGTGTTTCTATTTGTATTGTGTCTCTCCTGTTTCCGTTCATGCCTGTATGTGTGTACGTGTGTGTGTGACTTACACAAGCTCCACAGGGGTCTGGTCATGCGCTTCATCGCTATTTAAGCCAGGAGAGGGGAGAGGGCCGACTCTTGGGGGGATACAGATCTGCAGACAGAGAGGAGCAGCATGCACGGTCAGAGGTAGGGGAAACACCACATAGATGCTTTTTCTTATGATGAACTATAAAAAACAATAACAAATAGAATAATTAGTGGACTTGAGATTCATGTTCAGTTCAGCAATTTAAAAAGTTTGATATGAAAGTTTTTATTTCACATGAGGATACACAGCACATATGAACCCGTGTTGCACTGGAGTGTAAATCCAGTTTCAGTCATTCATAAAATGCAAAACCTTTAAAAAAAAAATGTAAAGCAATTTTTTTCCGACTTCTTTTCTGTGTAGCTGTTATCACTGTTTTGTTGTCAGATAATTGCTCCTGCCAAATTATTACTCACTTCTTCATTCATTCCTCATCAACAAGCTTCAAAAGACAAGCAGACTTCAACTCACACACAAGAAAAAAAAAAAAATGTTGAAGCAGATCATCTCTCGCCCGTCTATTGTTGAGAGCATTTGTGAGCTTTTGAGAGTTGAAAGCTAATGGCTTTGTGAATTATGAATAATGACTCGTACTGCCTGCAGGGGCGTCTAAGAAGTGAAGTTTCAGAATAATATTAAGACAATTGGCTTTAACAAGAGAACACAAAGCGAGCAAGTTGTTCTTGAGCTTAATTGAAGTGTATGTCTGCAGTGTATTGAAAATTTCGGTCTTCGTCTTACAAAATGTATGCTTGGATGAACCCCAGCCCCTTCCTACTCTGAACATAACAAACGGATTAGGAAAGATGGATGGATGAAAGTGAAACAAGTTTTCTTCTGCGTTTCTAACATTTCTAAGATACTTTCTTCCTGACCCTGTCCTCCTATCCGACACATCTCTTGTACCTAAAATGATTTCGCTCCCTGCACTCTTTCTCAGCATGTGGACAGCGGGTCTCCTGGTGGTGATCCTGTGTGCACCACTAATTCTGGCCCAGTTCCCCCGAATGTGTGTAACCCCCGAGGTGCTGCTGAGTGGCCAGTGCTGCCCGTCTCCCACAGGGGTGGTAGGGGACGAGTGTGGCGTCAGAACAGGGAGGGGGCAGTGTGTGGCCATTACAGCCGATAACATGCGCTATGGACCCCAGTACCCGTACGCCGGGCGTGATGACAGAGAGATGTGGCCACTGAGATTTTTCAACCGCACTTGCCAGTGTAATGGGAATTTCAGCGGCTTCGACTGTGGAAAGTGTAAACATGGGCTTACTGGACCAAACTGTGATCAGAGGATCCCTGTGGGTAAGAGAAGGACGCTATCTAAACTTAGCACTGGCAACCTAAAAATTCTGTCTCTCCAACTTTCCCCCACTGTACCTTTTAACATCTCAGTGGGCCTCGACATGTACAAAAGTACACCAGTCAAGACAAAGACAAGAGCATTTTGTCGGGGGGGGAAAATGTCTATGTAAATTTTTTATACTATTTTTCTTCTCCCCTCTCTTCCTTTATTCCTCCAACGCTCCAACAACACCATTTCCCCCCTTTTCCATCATTAACCCTGCAACAGTGAGGAAAAATATCATGGGGCTGAGTGCAGCTGAGAAGCAGAATTTTGTGAATGCTTTGGACCAAGCTAAGAGGACCGTGCACCCTGACCTGGTCATCATGACAAGACGGTACGACAAATACATTTCATCATTTCAGTCATGCTGCAAGAGCTCGGCTACATTAAATGAAGCCATTCATTGAACAGACAGCAGAGTTTAGTCAAAAAAAGAAAACTGCTGTCTCACTGCGAGCAAGTTTAATAGTCAAAAGCTAAACTGTATAGCTGCGGGTGAACAAACGCTCTGTTTTCATTAAATTATAAATATCAGGAAAAATCACAAGATTACTCATGGAGGCTTTGTACTTAATCTGCAGGTGGAGGAGCAAATTATCAGTTTAGGCGCAAGTAAAGGGATTTAAAATCTTCTAAGTAACAGTACATAAATCTGTGAATAGCCTCCTTTCAAGTCAGTTGAGGATTACAGTAGATTAATTTTTGAGGCAATTCTCAGTTCGAGGTAGGAGAACTTGTTTAACCTTCTAATAAAAAAGATGAAACTCTCCACCTTTAAACAGCCAAGCATGAGCTATTAGCAGCGCCTTTATATTTAAAGCCCAGTCTCCTTAGAAAGCTGCATACAAAAATAAAGTGTATGCACAGCGTCTACCGATTTGTAATTCCATTAAAGTAACATGCAACCACACATCAAACCCGCTGATATGAGATGTAGGATGCTGTTTCTGCATTAAAAAGCAGTGTGATCTAAGAGAAGCCTGGAGGAAAAACACAAAGAGACATTTGCTCTTTTGTTCACTGTCTGTAGATATCCAGAGGTGCTTGGGCCTAATGGTAGTGAGCCACAGTTCGAGAACATCTCCATATACAACTATTTTGTTTGGAGTCATTACTACTCTGTGGCCAACACCTTCCTGGGGCCAGACCAGCCAACCTTTGAAGGTATAGACTTCTCCCACGAGGGCCCCGGTTTTGTCACCTGGCATCGCTATCACCTGCTGCAACTAGAGAAAGACATGCAGGTGAGTCCAGCAGAAGAAGGAATACAGCCAAACTGGAAAGTAAAAGAGGACGTAAAAGAGGGCCTTTAAGGAAGTTCAAGATGGGAGAAGGGATGATAAAAGGAGAAAGAAAGGAGTGTGGGGATATCCCTGAGGAAGGAGGAATAACAGTCAAGAGGGAAGTAAAATTGTGGAAAATTTAAAGAATTTGTGGAAAAATGGGTGACTAAAAGAGTAGACTGGAATACTAGAAAGAGAAAGGGAGATTTAACAGCATTCTCTGATAAAACAAGGGCTTAATAAGTGCATCTATTTATAACAGCGAGCTATATTTATTGCCTCATCTGTAAACATCTTTTTTTTTTTTCCCAGAATATGCTGGGTAACCCCACCTTCGCCCTGCCGTACTGGAACTTTGCCATCGGAGGCAGCGAGTGTGACATTTGCACTGATGACCTGATGGGAGCAAGGAGCTCTTTCGATGTGAACTCAATCAGCTCCAACTCCTTGTTCTCCCAGTGGAGGGTAGTCTGTGAAAGCGTTGAAGACTACGACACTTTGGGCACCATCTGCAACGGTGAGGACAGTTGCAGGGAATAAACTCTACAGTGTACCGCCACACTGCGCAGGGAGAGAAGTGTTGATATACAGCGTAGTCTCAGCTGCATCAGAAAAGAGGGCAAAGAGCTCATAAAGGGAGCATGTAGAACATAAGCTGCTATAAATAATACCTCACAGCTGTTGTGCTGTATTGGATGTTGCTCGCTATTACTACAGTTTGTTTGAAACTACTCCACTACTGAAAAAACTTCTCATTGAATTGCAGTGCATATCCAGTCTATTGCAAGCATTTTTCTTTTATTCACCCAAGTAACCCTATAGAAGACATTCGAATATAGAGAAGTTCTTTAAGCCGTAATTCCCTATGGGGCCCGGCAGTTTAAAGCAGAATAAGGCAACTTAGTGTAACCACAGAAATAAGCTGGACCTTACGTGATCAGATTTGCAAGGATTGGATCTCATTCCACACTGGCACAAGATTACAACCTCTAAATCACTTCTTCAACAGCCAAATTCACACTTTTTTTTTCATCTGGTTTTGTAGCATATAGAAGAATGCCAATCCTCTTTTTGGGTTACTCTACTATTAAAACATGAAGGCGGCGCGGCTTTTAGAACAATCGCTTTTGTACGAAAACAAAGCTAAGGGGAATTTGGGAACAGGTAGAACATGTGAGCCGCTAACGTGTGAGTGCTCTGTCTCATTAATCCCCTTAGAGAGTCATGACAGGCCCGGTATTTCCTGCATCAACAAGCAACATCTCCTTAAATGGGTTAGGGGGGCTGCCTCATTTGAGCATGTGCTTGTTGAAGACAGGAATCTAGCAGTCTACTGGTTCCTTTGATCTGAGGGTATAATCCTACAACAGACAGACAACTCAGATATGTAGCCTTCTGTTTATGTGCTCGAGTGCCTATGTGTGTTTGTGTACACATGGGACACAAAAGAACAAAAAGAAGAGAAAGAAAAAGATCATGCAAGCAAAAGGGGGAGAGAACACTTCCCGTTCAGTCTCAGCGCTCTCACTCACTACTGTTGACTTTTGGTTAATTATTCAAAGAGAAAACTGCCAACCTGTCATGTTTTAGAATGATCAAACCAGTCTAGACCTCCATGAAGAATTGAAAAGAAGTTTAATAATACAACATTTCTAATCATCTTTCTTTCTGTTGAGTCTCAACTATTATCTAAGAGTCTTTTGTCTGAGTTTAGCGGTAATTATAATTCTTTTGCCTTAGATGATATTACCCCTGACCTTGACTTCTGTCTGCATCACACAGGCACAGAGACCAATCCTATCAGAAGGAATCCAGCTGGAAACACGGCCCGTCCTATGGTGCAGAGGCTACCAGAGCCTAAGGATGTGTTGGACTGCCTGGAGCTCAAAACCTTTGACACGCCGCCTTTCTACTCCACTTCCTCAGAGAGCTTCAGGAACACTATTGAAGGTCCGCAGTGATGCGTCATGGGTCAGAATCAATGCAGCACTTAACATTTCACATCGTCCAAACAACTTCAGACTAGTAGTGGCATTCAGGGTGAGCGGTTACAACTATGGAGCTGCTAAAATACTATGAAAATGCGCTTATGCAAATAAACAGCAAAATAGACTGTCCACCCATATGCGCACTCCTACGTTGCACTTGTTATTGTTAATTTAAGTAGATCATTCATGTCATTGATGGTCTGTATTTTCTAGGCTACAGCGCCCCTCAGGGAACATATGACCCTGTGATCCGCAGCCTCCATAACCTCGCCCACCTCTTCCTCAACGGGACAGGAGGACAGACCCATCTCTCGCCGAATGATCCCATCTTTGTCCTGCTGCACACATTCACTGATGCAGTCTTTGACGAGTGGCTCAGCAGGCACCAACCAGGTCCACACAGCCGGATCTAGTTCCAGACACAATATCATGACTCAGAGGAATGAGCGAGCAGATAAACTTAATGTTCTTATCCTGCAGGTCAAGTAGTTTATCCTGAGGAGAATGCTCCTATCGGGCACAACAGGAGGTTCAACATGGTGCCTTTTTGGCCCCCTGTCACCAATGCTGAGATGTTTGTCTCTGCCCCGGCAAACCTGGGATACTCCTACGAGGTCGAGTGGCCAAGTGAGTGGCACCAAATATTCGCAAAATCAAAACCTAAAAGCCACTTGTCGTGATCTTACTTTCTTTTTCCTTATAGCTCCTGGCTTCACCCTGTCTGAAATCATCACTATTGCCATTGTTGGGGCGGTGATTGTGGTGACGGTGGTGGGTGGCATCATTGCCTGTGCCTTGCGAGCCCGCTCCTACCGCTCATCCGAAGCCTTGGAGCCACTGCTGGGGGAGACTTTCCGGCGCTACTCAGAGGATGACCGGAGGTTGGACAAATCACAGTCTGTTGTCTGAATCTACATCATTATAGCCAGGCCTTAATATTTTCCAGCATTTTTTTAATTTTTTAAAATTCTTTTTACTCCCCTATTTCTTTGAATAAAGTTAAACTGGCTTTCAACCTGGAGTTTTGTGTGTTTGTATCTTTTACCGAAGACTAAAGAGGAGAGTAGGCATAAGTCAAGAGGTAAGATTGCCTTTTATTATGAACCGAAAAATAGCATAAGACAACCGGACCATTTCTGTGCTTTTTCTTCTGCTCCCAGTAGCATCTCATGGCTGTATCTATGCAGAGAAATTAGACCAACCATCAAATAAGTTTTTCTTACTAGTTGTATTTTTCATCTTTTATTTGTAAGCCTAAAATTTGGTGAATGTTGCACTCTACAAACAGACCAGAGACCAAGTTTTGATACCAAAGGCCTTCTGCTGCAGGGGCAAATTTTCTTGTCTGGTGCCTGGGGCTAAGAGGTAAATCAAATGGCTTGGATGTGATGCTGCTTCTCATCGATGAGTCAGATCAAAACCATATAAATGTCAATGTCTACAAAACAGCACACACACCACCCCCATGTGGAAGTAGCATACTACTACAACAGAAAGAACAGGTCCAATTTACAAGTCATGCACTTTTAACCCCAGAGAATAACGCCATATATCCAACACATTTTAAAAATAGAGCCCAAATTATCCTTTAGCCCACAGGTACCCATTCAGGTATATCAAAAAGACAAACAACTCTGCTGAATCAACCATCCCATAAATTACAAATAATGGGATTCATACTACCCCTGCACACACACACTCACACAAAACAGACCATGTCTCCACAGGGCTGAAACAGTAAAAAAGAATTGCATGACAGGAGCTGCCTATGGCTATCAATGATGACTTACAGTATCTGTTAAGGCCATCTTCACCTTTGCCGACAGCAACTACTTCTTGCCAAGTTTTACATGACAAAGTCTAAGTGAGATATTAAAATCCCGTTTAATCCATTCAGAACAATGTTTAATGAGCTTTAATGCTGCGTTCGAGTTACCTCGAAAGTCAGAAGTCCGCGCTGAAATGACGTCACACCCGAGTTACCAGCGTTTCCGTCACCAAGTCGGAAAAACGCAAAATCGGAGGCTTGAAACAAGATGGCTACGATGTTTATTATCGCTTGCCTTATACTCGGACCAGGCAAGCAATAAAATAACTTTCGTAGATGTATCTTGTTTAGCTATTTCCCGACTTGGTAACTGAAACGCTGGTAACTCGGGTGTAACGTCATTTTCCGAGGTAACACGAACGCATCATAAGTTACCGACCGTGCAGGTGAAGCAGCTGCCTGTTGTCGTGCCTGTTTAAAATAAACTCCACTTTAAAGATTGTGAAGTATTGACTTGTAAAAAATAACAATGGTGCTGAGTATTTATGAGATTGAGTCAACGACGGAGCCGACAAAGAGGCAGTTTAAGTTAGCATTTAAAAAAAACTGAGGCTAAACCTTCTCACTCGGTTTATATCGTGACCTAGCTAGCCGTTAGCAAAACATTTTCTCCCTCGCTATTACTTCGCCACATCTATTCGTGCAAATGGTTGTCGTGTAAATACTGCAAGCTAGCGTCTTGATGTGGTTTCTGTGACAAGAGTAAGACTCTTACCGAAACAGTGTGGTTACGATGATTCAAGCAGCAAAAAACTATTACCTTCGTTGTTTTCGCTGCTGGCGCGCGCACTTCCAGTTGCAAGCTCGAGAAAGCGGAGCGCTAAACGTCATACACTTAAAACCACGCCCATCAACGGAAAAGTAACTTAAAGGGATATTCCGGCGTAAAATTAAGTCAGGGTCAAACACACCATAACACCGAGTCAGTCACCCCACCAAGAGATGAATGTTGCCGTCCACTTGCTTCTCTAGTTATACCAACCTTAGTAACGACCACAGATAGCAATACAGAGAGCCACGCGCTCAACCAAAAAGCCACTCTATAACCACAAATAATGCTCAGAACAGCACCTAACTTCATCAACAGTACATATAGGGTCCTAGCCATAGTACTAGTCACCAAACATCTTTTAGCTTTGCCTGATTTCTTGAGCAAAGAGACTAAACACATCTCACCTACTTTCTTCCAGCAGCCGCTTGTTTGTAGCGAGACCTCCAGGCGAGTCCATTGACCGCTGCGGGGTGACACAGCTCAAGGATGAAAATTTATGATTATTATTTCATGGTAATGCAATCAGACCGAGATGCAAAAGAACTACTGCAGCTGCGGTGCAAAATGATTAATATGATGATTATTACTTCAAGGAAATGATAAAGTAATGATCATGTTTTATGTTTGACCCTAACTTAATTTTACACCGGAATATCTCTGTAATTTAAAACCTGAATACCTTTATCATCTTGCAGTAGGGCTGAAAATATTGCGACTTACAAAAGACGAGTCTTACTTTAATTAGTCTAACATAGTTTTACCTAAATGTGTCCACTTTGATTTAAATTGATATAGATTACTTTAACTATTTTGTGCTCATTTCTCTATACACACGTGTTCAGTATTGAAATCATCCTGTGACATCAGGATAAAACCAGTTTTTTATGTTATGGTGAAATTGCTAAGTGTCCAAAACTTCAGGAAAAGACAAGAAATTTTGAACAGCCCTCCATCAGGCAACACAATATCAGTCAGCCAAGTCAGTCCTATAATTTTTTATTTCTTTTACTTTGGGCTAGTAGTAATATTTACCCTACAGAGAATTTATTTTGCATGCCACGTGCACAGGTTGAACTCTGCATAATGCCATAACAACAGGACAATCAGAATCCTGCATCTTCATTTTCAGTAACTTACCATCTGACTGACAGACTCGTGTTTTCTTAAGAGGGTGGTTTAAAAACTCAAATTAAGATAATTTAGCATACTCTTGAACTGCGTATCTCTGTGTAATTATTCCTTGCTTCAGGCTTTTCTACTAAAAAAAGATTCATTCTTCTCCATGCCAAAATTTTAGTTCAGCTCATTTGCTTGTGACAGCCGAGACTCAGTAGTGACATGGAACTGTGGGCATCTAAAATGACGATTATAATTTAGTATGACTACACCCCCACACTTTGTACAGTGACTGCATGGAGATCTCCCTACATGAATATTTTTAACTTGCTTGAAGAAAAACAGAATTTTCAGACTCAGCACTGGACTGAATTACTTAGGATTGGCACTTTTGCATAGTAGGCTGGCACCTTGAAATAGAATCCCATGGGAATGGATGGGGAAGAAGAATGGATTTTTTGGACCCACCATCAGTTGACTGTTCACTCTGTACCAGCAGGCTACATTGACACCAAAAAGAGGGTTCTGTGGATTTATTAATATGGATAGAACAATCATTTGGCTAGTGCCATCTTCCCAGGAGGAGATAGTTAGTGCCTTTCATGTCAAGAGAGCTCACATGAAAGTCATCTTACTGTCACCCACAGAAACTGCAAGACAGTATTACAATCACAGTAGCAGAAATAGAAGCACTGTGTAGATGTTGGAGAAGTTCAGATTTTTGTGGCCTGCTGGAAAATTCATATGAATATTTCAGGGGGTTTCAGCTTCATTTTGAAAACCAGCTTACATTTTTTTGCTTTAAAGGGAAATATAAATGCATCTACTCCCACAGGGGACTATATGAAAATCCATGATTAAATGAAGCGTGAAAAAATGTTGATTGGTTCTTTTATTGGGAATAATAAAACTCTAATATGTGCTGCTTGTTTGGCAATGAAAAACAATTATACTGTAGGTAACATTGTGTCTAAATGCACAAAAATCTGAAAGCCCTCGCCATGCCAGCCTGTCGGGAGGCAGTCAGTCGTCTGGAGAAGGATAAACCGGTATGCGATGGCAGAGTTTCAATAAAGCTAGAAATGCGAACAGATGGCTTTGATTAATGCAGAGGCTTGAGATGGGATCTCCCTAGATGCCTCCTATTTTCATAAATGAGACATTTGTTTGCAAATGTATTGTTCTTCAGGTTGTCACCAGTAAATCTAGTGATTAAAGAGAAAGTTGTGTGCATCTTGGCAAAAAAGCAAAGGTGTGTGCTCCCTTGATATATTTCTGACTCAGGTAGCACAGCTTTGTCCTAACTTTTGACTAATTTCTTCTGCTTTCTCACATGAGTCACATCATTTACTATTCTGACTAATCCTCCTCTCCTTTCTGTCTTGTTGCCACTCTAATTCTCAGCCTGTGATTTATTGCTGCCTTGTCATTCCGTGATATACTGTGTGACGTGCACTTCATCCTGCCACCAGCCACCTTGACTAAACCTGAGTGATCCTGTAAATGTATTCATGTTTGACAAGACAGAGAGAAAGTGCAAGTGAGAGAGAACATTACCACCACAATAAAACATCTTCAAGGCAAAATCTCAGCTCACTGGTTTAGAACTAGATGTAAAAATATGCAAAAAATGCAAAAATAATTTCTTGCATCTATCCTTAAAAATATCACTGCAGGCATGGCTGTCCTTGCTCAACAGTTCAGGAATCTCAGCTTTTCTCAAATACCTCTTTTTGTGCCGCATCTGTGGGCTTTGAAAGTCAAACAATTTGACATCCCCAGTCCTCTTCAAGGCTTTTCCAGAGAGACAACGCAGAGCAACAAAAAAAAAAGACATGCCACATTGCTGTTGTTCCAAAATCGAACATAACTGTGTTTCTTTAGTTAACATCATAGGTAGGATTAATCAAGTCCTGAAAGATGGGAACAAATGGTTTATAAAACTCTACTAAATGGGCATTTCATATGATAACTTACAGAACATTCAGTTAAACATAGTAAGACAATGCCAAACCAGTGTGGCTTTGAGGTCTACATACACAAATAACTTAAATAGCTGAGAAAAGCATATATACGACAGTAAAAATAAATACAAATAAAACAGGTATGTAAAGTTTTCTACATTGAAATGTGCATGTAACACTTCAACAATACTTAACTGAAAATCTAAAATTACAACGGATCAAGTTGAGAAGATAAAACAGTGATCAATGCAATAAGGAAAATAAGCTGCTTTTAAGTGTTTCTTTTTTTTTTTTTTTTTTTTTTTTACCTAGCTGAAGGAATAATTCAGGGTTTTTAAGTTGGGTTTTATGGGAAAGGTGTCAATAGATAATTTATTACCCACAAGGGATCCTGGTCAGCTCAGTTTCCTTTTTCAAGAAATGGCTAAAGAATTGACACTGGAGCTATGAACTAATGCAGAAAGTCAACACTACCACATAATTTGGGTATTTTTGTAAGACTCTGATGTAAAACTTTAAGCTGATGTAAGGGTATACTTTATGTAGAGATTTTTCGGTGCTTTACACTGCTGTCAGAGAGCCCGTTCACTTATGCAGTGACACATACATGCTAGTGCACTGATCAGAATCAAATGCAGCCGTTAAACTGACTTTCTTCAAAATTGCAGAAAAGCTGAGATGTATTAGTTAATTTTTCTATTGCTTACTGACATAACCCAAAATGCACACAATATATCAACCCTACAAAATCTAAAGCACATTTGTGTGCTCGCCTGATGGTGTCGGCATTTTTTTTTTTGCTTGAAACAATGTCAAACTGAGGTGCAAAAATATTCAAATCCACAATATATTGGGGTAAAGGTCAAGTTTGTTTGCACGTCAAAAGCCTGAAAAGCTGGTCAGTGCACTGCAGGCAGATGGACAGGTATCTGTACCAACAGCAAATGGTGCAAAACAAATGGGCTTTCTATTGGCAAAGAGCTGAAAATTTCTAATCACTATCTACAACAGAGTTTGGTTGGATTTTGTTGAAATCAGCGATATTATTTTGAGAATTGACCCCGTCTGCAGGGTTTGACGAGCTCCTATTTTGGTTCTCTGGATGGTTTCTCAAGAAGTTATACACTTACTGATAACATATTATGACTTACTCAAGCAACTATGACAATACTTAGAATAACAAGAGTATGAAAAATGACAGTAATGAAAGATACCTTATCTTTCTGAAGAAATTTCCAAACTTAGTACCACACAAAATATTGGCAGAAGCACTTGGCATGTTTAAAGTCTGAGAGTTATTACTGTAGTCGACTCTGAATTAATTTGAGACATTGTGAGTCAAGATATGTTTCTGTGATCAGCATAGACAGCTGAGGATGATAATTTATGCTTGAGTGTGTTTGCATGAGCAATGATGCATATCAATGCATTAATGTGTAATAAATACCTTGAGACGCAATATATCTTCATCATTTAGAACAGTGTGGTACGGTCGGTGTATTTAATAACTTGGAAAAGTATCCCATGTGAATACAGTGCGTCGTCATTAGAACATGAAGATCCACATCGCACATTAATTAAAGTAATACCTTTGGTTGTGTAAGGATTATATTAGGATTACTGTGTATGTGAAAACACACCCAGGCTGTGTTAGCAGATAGAGGTAGCTTCCCAAAACTAGGTACAAATACACTGACAAAGACAGTTTCTCCTCCTCTTACACAAAACTACTAACCTTCCACATTCTCCTATTAAATGTGGCAGGTCGTCTGAGACAGCTAAGACTTCGCAAATACTAAATGACAACACACACACAAAAGCAGGCTGTGTTTCAGGAGAGCACGGTGAGGACCACGGTTCCTTTGGTTTTCTTCAGGATGTCCACAGCCTCAGCATGAGTCACACCCTCCAGACAGTGTCCGTTCACAGCAATGATCTGATCTCCACGTTTCAGCCTGCCGTCCTCTACAGCTGCCCCCTTGCAGAGAACAAAGACAGGTCTATCAGCATGTGAAGGTCAGAGATCAGAAACCGCTGACAACATTATCAAGAACTGTGAGAGAAAAAGCAAGGAAAAGACAGAGTAGATCACTCCACAAAAACTTGAATATCACTGAACATATTGCGATGATAGAGGAAAAAGTTGTGCAGTTTATATGATAGCTTGTTTAAAAACTCTAAATAAACTCTGGTCTTTACTTACGAAGTACAAAAATTTAAGCTGTTTGCAGTGTATAGTGATGGCATCCAGCCTTTGTGCCCTAATCTGTCCACATGAACAATGAACATACACGCTTACTGCAGTTAAACTAAATCGCCCCTGTTGTGCTCGAATCGGATTTCTGAGGTCCTCGGTCCTCGGCTTAAGATTTTTCCTTGAAGGAAATTCTCTCACCTTATTAAAGACAGTTTTGATGTAGATGGGCAGGTCTCCATGTGGGCTTCCAAACCCTCCAACAATGCTGAAGCCCAGGCCCGAGGAACCCCTCTCCAGTGTGATGGTCTTATACATGCGTGCACTGTGGGAGAAGAATGAAAAACCATGAAGGGGAATTGCAAGGCATGCTGGTATGGAAGTGTTTGTAGCCTAGTGAGAAAACAAAGAATGTCTAGTTTTGCAGTGCAGTTAATTATGAAGCATCCATCCATCCCCACATCGTTCCATCAATGCATCCACCCATCTAATCCCATCCCATCCCATCTAATCCCATCCCGTCCCATCAATTCCTCAATCCATCCATCCATCCATGTTTTATTAAGCAATGTTTTTCCAGCTCCTCCTGGGAGATACCGAGGTGTTCCCAGGCCTAATGGGATATAAATGTTCCCAGCAATCTCTACCCATAGACTGTTTATACTATGGCTCTACCTAAGGACCTTCTTCCATTTGGACCCACCCAGAACACCTTTCTAGGTAGGCATTTATTGGGCACACTTATCAAAACCCCTAAACCCCCTCAACTGGCTTTTTTTTTGAGACGAAGGAGCAACATCTCTTCTCAAAGCTCCATCAAGATGTCCAAGCTCCTAACTAGATCTCTATGATCAAGCCCAGCCACTGGCCAAGGGAAACTCATTTGAACTGCTTGTATCTGCTATATTATTCTTTTGCTCAGTACCCTTAACTCATGATCATAGGTGAAGGTTGGGATGTAGATCAACTGGCAAATGGAAAGCTCCTCCTCTGTCTCGGCTCCCTATTCATAGCAACAGTCCAGTACAACCAATACCTGTATTGATCCTGATGCAACACCAATATGCCTGTCAGTCTCACAATCCATTTCACCCTGACTCCTGAAAAGACCTTGAGACGTCTGAACTACTTCACCTGGAGTAAAGACCCAAACCCATTCAGAGAGAGCGATCCACCATATTCCAGCAGAGAAACATAGTAGCCTCAGGCTTAGAGGTGCTGACCCTCATCCAAGATTTAAAACAAAATTGCGCTGGAAGAAACCTTGGTTCAATAAAACAAAGTTAAAACCAGGTTTTTCAACCTTCTGATTGGGCGAAGTTGCCTGTTTTGCATAAAAAGGTTAAATGAAATTAGTCTGATTGTGAGGTCACATGTTTGTCTTGAGATTATTTTTCAGGCCTTTTCTCCCTCAGTGTAAGAAGAGAATGACAGAAAATGTGGAGAGGAGTTGGGAATGACATGGATCAAATACTGTTACTAAATTGAGCCTTTGACAAGTGCAACAAGGACGGTCACTTCTGCAAACCAGGCACCCACTCTCCCAAATTAGCCCTGAACCCTGATAAAGATGTCTCTTAAATCCAAACTAGTTTAAGGTTAGACATGTTTTTTTTGTCTAATAATAAGTTAACTTGTTCAACAGCTTCTTTGATTTAATATTTGTCTTTGCCGAGCTGCCTAAAACCCAAATGTGTAACCTTTGCAACAAGATTTTAAAGAAGAAACTTGTCTAAAGCTGAAAAAACAAACTAAAAACACACACACACACACAAACACACAAAACAAACCCAGATGATCATTTTGGGCAAACACCTAGTTGTTCCAATGCCACTTACACAGCTGTTGCACTTCCTCATTATTAGGGGGACCTGAGTCTGCCTTTCCCCTAAATTGGTGAATAAACCAAGAGGGACCAAATAGAACAACAGCAGGAGACTGTCAGGGAAACTGATTCCTACCACAGATTGTTGTGGGAGCAGGGAAGGCTGCTGGGCTGGCCTGATGACCAGGCATGCACGTCATTGTTGTCCTTTGCGCTGCACCCACCAGAACCTGCTGCCACCTTTAGATACACAAACAACCCCCCCAGCCCCACAACACATACACGCACAAATGATAAAACACTGTATCAGTTATGACAATAAAAAACATATATTTGAATGTGTAATGATCATAATTAGCCATGTGTGCATCATAATCTGATATCCTGCTGCTGTAACACTGCCATGTTCATCCAAATGCTAATGATACTGATAATGTTTTTGTTTTTACACACAATATACATGCCAGACCAAAAAAAAACATCAAGTTCCTAATAATCTTTTTTGCCTCTTAAAGCAAAAATTCTCCAGAGGCTCACTGAAACGAAAATAAGTAATGTCAAGTCAAGTTCTGATGCACTATTGTTTTAAAGTGACATTGGCTCTAATTGCTATATCTTGTTAAAAGGCTGCATTTAAGTTGTTTTTATGTAAATGTATGTCTCAGTTAGTTTTAGAAAAGTAATAGTCAGAGAGATGAGGAGGCAGGATATGGTGATTACCGCCTCACTCTGACAAAAAAAAAAAATGCTGACAGTATGGTAACTTAATGTCTCACAGGCACTTAAGATTAACTGCAGCATGTCTCACTGTGTCATTACCTGCAGAGTGATGGTTCCAATAGCATTCTTCAGCAGAGCTCCAGCCTGGACATGAGTCATTCCCTTGGTGGACACATCATTGATACTGAGGATCGTGTCTCCTGTCTGAGAAGCACACAAAAACTAACTTCTGTGAAGACATTAGATTGGCCTAAAAGCACATTTTCCTGCATACCCTAATAAAGACTGCTACATATTATACTTCTCCTAAACCTTAGCAAACTGTTCCCATGTTAGGGATTCTTATATAACTATCTTTTCGAGTTGATTTGCTCTAGCTTTCAGGGATTTACTTATGCTCATTTACAAGTGGAAAGGCCTTTATGTACAGTGTGTTTTCCTCGTTTCGCATCTTCTTACCACACATTTTGTGTTTTGTCTATCATGATGTTTAAGGTGTCATTTTCCTATGTAAATCTGATGGATTGAGTGGGTTGAGCTAATCTATGGGAAAAGAAAAAAACAAACAGAACAAGTCTTGACGTCAAACTGGTGTTTATCCGTATGAATATGAATAGGCCATAATGAGTGTGCAGGTTTTACTTTATTTTAAATCCTAACTCTGGGGCAGATTCCAAAATTAATGACTAACCTCACGAGGCCTGACTTTTTGCCCTCAGACACGAGGTGAGTCTTTACAATATAATGACTTTAACATCTCCCCTCGTATTAATAAATACACGATACAAGCACGTGCATATCCACACTCCTCACCTGCAATTGCTGTGTTTTGGCTGCCAGTCCATTGGTATCCATGGTAGCAATAAAAAGAGGTACGTTGTCATGGGGACTACCCGTTCCTCCTGCTACTGTGATGCCAAGAGAGTCAAATGGACCCTGCGGGAATATAACACAGACTCATCGTTAACATGTTAGACAATATTACTGAATAAAGGGGTGGCAGGATCCACACTTGACATGACCTAGAGTGAGTCTGGGGTCCAATTAGGTAAGAAGCTTTTCATTTTTACCTCTTATTTTGAGGTTTTTTTATGAGTCAAAAGAACATAAGCTGTGAGGACTTTCACAAAGCTCACATCACAGTGTAGGAGGTCATTTTCTCCTTTAGACAACAGAACAGGTAAAACAATTACAGGTACTTTTTTAAGCATCTGCATTACCTTTTTTATTGTTACTTTTTGGACACCAGGATGGTCCTCAAAAGCTGCAGAAGGGGAAAGACAAATATTTGGGACAACAAGTTTAAGATACAGCCGTCATTATTTCAAAATTATGTCTAACTCAAGTCAAGATTATAATCTAATTTTTAAGTATTTAAAACATTATGCGATTTTGCTTTCAGACAGCAACTCTTCTGTTCATGAGTTAACTCACTGGAGCTCTCAGGTCTATTCTCTGTCTCCCTCTGGTGGCCAAGAGAAGAATCACCTCCACTCGAGAGGGTCAGGGTAGAACAGGCAGACTCTCCACTCTGATTAAAACACAACGCAAAGTAAGTCTAGTTTCTAAAGTTCTGCTGTTGTTGGAAAGTGTATGCATTTACATCAGCTTCACACAGGTGAGACACAAAGAATCATGGGGATCAGCCCACCTGGCTACGTTGCGAGCATTGCAGACCAGCTTTAAAACGAGCCACCTCCAGGTTGACCGCTCCACTGCAGCTCTGAGAGCAGAGTGACACATCTCACTTGAGTTGATAACATTCACATTTTTTCCATATACTTTATCGAGTAAAGGTGAAAATGTCAAACCTGTAGCAGCCTCTGGGCATGTTCCTGCGATGCTGCACGGACATCCTCCTCATTGATTGATAGAATCTGGTCACCAAGCAACAACCTGCCATCTGAATCCGCTACGCCTCCTCTGATGATATCTGACACAAAGATGCCCGTGTCATTACTGTTGGAAGAAAACAGAGGTCAAAAACTGTCTTCTCCACGCTCACAGATGGAATTATGTGACCTGCGAATGTTCGCCGGCTGGTTTGCATAGCGTCATACTTAATTGTGCAGATATATTGTGGCAATCTGTGGACTGTTAATGTTGATGTTAAAAGATGTTTGACGAGGTCATTATAATTACTGTACAGTTAGTCTGTTGGTAATGTCTGATAGTTGTGCCATTTTCAGCATGTCTTGGAAGTCAGTTGACAAATTTGACTCTATAGGCCATGACGCCGTTGCAGTTAGAGACCTTTGGCCGTTCTCTCCAAAACGTCAGTAAAGTTGTGCTCCTATTGCATATGGCACAGAAGCTGTTTTTTAAAAAGAAAACTGCTCATTTAAAATATTAATCTACCAAACAGCTCACCACATTATGACACTCCATAAAAAGTCTTTGTAAACAATGTCTTCCTTGACTTGAATCTCCAACCTTTATAGGGATATTCCGGTGTAAAATTTAGTTAGGGTCAAATAATAATTACTTTATCATTTCCTTGAAGTAATAACCACCATATTAATCATGTTGCACAGCAGACCCAGTAGTTCTTCTGCCTTAGCATCTTAGTGTGATTCCATTTCCATGAAGAAATGATAATAAATGTTCTTCCTTGAGCTGTGTCACCCCGCAGCAGTCTGTAATGGACTGGCCTGAGGTCTCCGTACAAACAAATGGCTGCTGGAAGAGAGTGGCTGAGTTGTGTTTGGTCTCTTTGTTCAAGAAATTAGGCAAAGCTAAAAAAAATGTTTGGTGGCTAGTACTATGGCTGGGACTCTATATGTCCTGTTGATGAAGTTAGGTGCTGTTCTGAGCATTATTTGTGGCTATAGAGTGGTGTTTTTGTGGCTCCTGGGACTGCTGTGTATTGCTACCGTGCATTTGTTACTAAAGTTAGTTAAACAAGAGAAGCAAGCGGTCGGCAACATTCATCTATCGACAGGGTAACTCAGTGTTACGGTGTGTTTGACCCTCACTTAATTTTACACCAGAATATCCCTTTAAGGCACTCACAAGAAAAAGCAAGGGAAGGATTTCCTTATGCATCCTTCATCTACTTGACAATAATAGTCACTGACGCTGCTAAATCTTTCACCTCTAGCTGGAAGATCTCACAGCTTCAAACCTCATTTATTATACCCTCTTTATTCTACAACTAATATATTTCTTTTTCCAGTCAAAGTTTTGGGAGCATAAAACGGCTGCTTCACTTATCAAAAAACTGTTTCTAAAAAAACTAAAAAGTCCTTTTGAAATGCATGAAAGAAAATGATACCATCAGAAAATACATAAAAAGGACTAGAACTTCCACCTTACGGTAATCCATCACTGCAAACCCCTCAACATTGTGATAAGTACTGCACCTTCATCTTTTTTTCTCTAAGAAGTAGACCTGACAGTGTCTGACAATTCTTCAAAAAGGGGGATGCTGCAAAAAAGCAACTAATTCTGAAATGTGAAGGTCTGAAACACAACGTCTACTATCTATGCAGCGCAGAATATCTGTAAAAGCACAACAGTTTCAGGACTGGCAACAAAGATTAGTGCCACAAATTCAGTTTGTGAATGAATCTGAAATGAAGTCTGACCCTTCTGTTCTTGAGTTTCGAATCAACGAAGGTCTGATAAGACATTATACAGGACATTATGATGCAATTGTAAGTTAACAATATACTCTCTGACACAAAACGTCTTCATTATCTTTTGTCTTGTGTGAACATTATCGCCAAGTGCCTCTTCAATGACGGAGATGAATGGTGAAGTTTTGCTATTCTGTCAATTTTAGAAACTCTTTACACTGAAATGGCTTAAAGCCGCTTTGCTTGATAATTTGTTTTTTAAATGGTATTTGCAAAACTGGTCTTGACAGGTCGATTCTGGCTTTCTAACTTTTGTCTCTGAGATTTAGAGAAAAAAAATTTATGTCCTCTGGAAACATAAAGAGCCAAAAGTACAAAATTACTCCCAGAATGACCTATCTGGAGTTAATTTGTGATATACCTCTTCCCCACAGTGGAGAACCCCAGCCCCTCTCCAGGACAAGGTCTGAGCTGCAGGCTGAACACGTCCCAAAGGTCCTCCTCCCTGTAGGCTTCCTGGTGTCTGAAAACACACAGCAAGACACGCTGGGTGGTGAGGCGCAGCACGCTGATGGCCTCGTCATGAGTGGCTTGCCGCAGGTCTATACCATTAACCTGGAAAGTGTGGAAAATGAGATGGTTGTAAGACAGGGGTGCAAGAGAGATGTGTAGATGAAGCGTTTGTAGATCACAGACAGTAGATGGATTTTACTTGTGATCCTTCATTTACAAGCATTCATTGGTTTATCTATCAATGGCTTGTTGCATTTTACTGCATGATTCTTTGTACATGCTTCTCTGGTTTTTGTCACCAGTTCAGCATCTGATTATCGTGTGTTGTTAAAATGCAAGTCATCTTTTGTGAAACGTTTCTTAGCTGATGATAAATTAATTACAGATTCTGTTACATTATTAATATATGGACACATATGCATGAGATATAAAAGAAACCAAGCTTGTCTTCAGTTTGAAGTTTAAACACATTTCTCAAAATTAAAAAGTAGTCTCGTCTCTGGATTGTGATTTAGAAACTTTAATTTATAAAATGTTTGTGCTTCTGTTTGTGTATACTTAATATACCTCTAAAATCTGGTCTCCTGCCTGCAGCCTTCCATCTCTCTGTGCGGCTCCTCCATCATTGACCTCATGGACTATTACTGCCCCCTAGTGGAGAAATCAGAAAACATGTTATACTACAAAGAACATACTTCTTATTTGATTCCCTTTTTTAACAATATCAATCATTTCTTTTGATAAAATTGCATCTTTTTTATTTTATTCAGGCAGGTTGAGAAAAAAAATGGACAATATCCCAACAGTTGATGAAATTTCGAGAATCTCTTTGTTGCTCTCACCAGCAGAGTGTCGTTTCCTCCCACAATGCTAAGGCCCAGGCCTACATTTCCTTTACATATCTCTATAGTGGTCTCTCTGCCAGACACAATCGGGCAGCTCAGGGGGCCTGAAGTTGAGGACGCTGCTCCTTCTGAATGTGTAAGTCCAGTTTGAGAAATCTGTGTATTAGTGAGGGATGAAGTGGTGGAGGAGGAGGAAGAGGAGACAGAGAGGGTCAGAGGGGACACGGGACAAAGTGCACGAGGATTGGACAGAGATGAGGGGAGAGGTAGAGTAGAAGGAATAAAGGGGGAGAAACTCTCGGAGCGGCTGATGGAGAGCTTGACAGTGACCCGGTGTTTGAGGATCAAACTGGACACCTGAATACAGAGAAGACGGGCGAGTCATAAATCATTAAATCAGCGTGACCTTGTCTGAGGAAAGTGTGTGTTTGTGTGTGTTTATACCTTGTCTACTGACAGCGCTGCCACTGGTTCATCACCCACTGCTATGATTCTGTCTCCAGCCTTTATCCTGCCATCCTGCGTGAAGACAGAAACATGAGTGAAATACATGATGAGAAACAAAGTCTGTAAGTGTATGCAGCAGACAGATGGAGGGGTGTAGGATTAGAAATCAAACACACCCTCTGGACAAACATCCGAATAAGCATTGCCTGAGGCCTCACATAAAAATATTAATACATGACAACATCACTTTAGAACATGACAAATAGTTCCCGAAGGTTAATTTGGTTTAAATATTATCAGAAATACTCAAAGACTGAGGCTATTACACCAGGGTTTACATCTGCCTTTGTGGTACAGTAATATGAGGCTCATTTGGGCCTCGTTAGCGTGATTGTTCATGGATGGCTTCCGTTACAGTCAAACCATTGAGGCTTGGTGGATTACAAAAACATGATGAAATTGTGTGCAACCTGTGTGCGAAAATAAACTTAGAGATAAAGTGATAGCTGACAGAATACTGGAATTCTTTAGAAGAACAACATGAGGTGTTCAGAAAACGTTTGGATTTAAGAAAGGAGGCGTTATATTTCATTTTTAAAGCTCCTGTGAGGAACTTTCTGTTTGTCTGAACTTTGGTGCCCCCTCTCAGACAAAGCAACACTCCTATCTTTTTGCTGATCTTGTCCTGTGAATTTGCAGATTTTTCAAGTCTTTGGCAGTGGTTACAAGCATCAAAAGAATCGACAAAGAAACGATCAGTTTTGTTAATGATAGTCTTATAAAGCGAGATTAGTATCATTTTAAAAATTCGAGTCTATTTCATGATCAGCAAAGAACTCCTCACAAGAGCTGCTAAGAAAAACAGGTTGGAATACAAAGCACCTCCATTTTAGAGGCAAAATTTTCTACTTATACAACTTTTTTGACAGATGATGGGTTTTTTCGGAGATCAATACTTTTGATATAATATTATATTTGACATAAATTGTTAAAAATAACGGTAATCAAAGAACAAGAAGAAAGGTAAATGAATACAATTAGTGTATTTTTTTAACCCGATATTGGTGAACAACAAACTGGGGGAAGATGCTCTTCCACATTCAAAAACATCACTCACAGATAAATTCAAACATGAGGCAATCAATGCCATAGGATGATCTAAAAGTATCGTGACAATGGGCCCGATGCACAGGGGCCGATCTATTCAGTCTAACTCTACGTTATGTGCTGTGAGTGGCATCCACGAGTAACCAGGCTGAGCGGATGCACACATTGTTTTCAAAACGAGTCAGCAAAGGGGTCTGCTATCTTGAACTTTATCACAATACCTCAGCCTACAAACTCGACGGCCTCTTGCAGTACCGAAACGTTCCGAGGGCCAGTGGTAAAACTTTAGGCCACAACAAAAAGGTAATTCAGCGCGGCTTTTCTGTATCAGAATTGGATCAGTATCGGCCAATACTAAACTGTAGAGATCTGTATTGGAGGTGAAAAAAGTGGATCGGTGCATCCCTAGTTTTAATACAGGACTTCCCAAGTCTGGGAGCCTATGCCCTTAGTGAGCAGTCACCTTTAGTACAAGCCAAACGATCAAAAATTTCATCTGGTGATGTAAGGGGTTAAAAGCTCTGAGACCAAAACAGAAGCTTTTTTTTTTCTTTACAGTAGCTGAAATGCAAGAGGGTGAAAGCCTCAGTTATAATGATCTAATAATGCAAAATTACACTCTGACAGAGGCGACTATATTTCTGTTGGGTACAACTGAAAAGTGCTTCTCCTCAAGCCAAACTATGGCTGCTTATTAATAATAAATAAACAAGTGATGATTTATTCAGACTTCATTTAGAGCAGTTTTTCCTACAAAGGTAGACTGATTCCTGTTATTGATACAGATGATGAGAATGCTTCTGATAATGTCGCACCTTACTGGCCGTGCCACCCGGGATTAGGGACCTGACAACCACTCCATCTTTGGACTCGTCCTCAGCCATACAGATGCCAAGACCAATGTGGTCCTGAAGGATATTGGCAAGCAGACAACAAAAGCAAAACAAGATTAACCAAGCATTATTATAATTTTTCATGCAGGATCTGTATTTGCTATCCAAAACTCAGAATGATGTGGGCAGCGCTTTTATTCCCTTATGCATGTAGACTTTTTTTTTTGCTGCCACTCTGCAGGCAGCAGAAGACCTGACGATGGTTAAAGCCAAGGTATAACACCTGAGGTAAGATGATGTGCTGGATGTCTCTGGATAATCCTCCACACCCTACAGAGTCTTTTCCGGAGTCGACTGCATTTTCACACTCCATCCTGGACCCCAGGGTTATTTCACCTGAAGCTGCTTTATTCCTAGCAATACAAAAAAACAAATAATAGTAAGAAATTAAAAGGATATAACTGGAATGTGACACTAACAAAAACCTCCCTCTGCACCTGTTACCTTATGAGGATTATCTTGACCTTGGCTGGAGCGTTATTGATGATGGTAGAAGCGTTTTGGTGACTCCGGCCGTACAAAATCTGACCGTTGATCTGGAAGAAAAATCAGGTCATAATTTGCGTCATCAGTTTGTTTTTGTTGATCTCACCCATCCCCAAATCCTCCTCTTATTCAGCCCTGTTTCTTCTAACTCCCCTCCCCCTTTTTGGCTGCCAGCAGCTTCTCGATTTTCCTCATCATCTCTATTACATGGATGCTCGTTGTAAGAATCAAGCCCAGCATCAGCCATCTTTCAAATGGTAATTTGTCTGATAAATCTACTATGCTGGTACTCAACGCTGTCTACTCATCCATGCCTCCTACCCACAACCCACTGCTCCCTTTATGCTGCTCTCAGTTTTGACTCTGATATTTTGTCTCTCTCCAGGAATGCGTTCCTTCCCACCCACTAAAAGAAAGAAAAAAAACATCCCATCTGTTAATCTCCCTCTTACCTCTAGAAGCTCATCTCCAACCCATATCCTCCCGTCTAAACCAGCCGGCCCTTGGGGGTCTATATCTGCCACATAGACACCCATGCGGGCCCTGGAACCCTCCTCATTCCCTCTGAGGCTGATTCCCAGGCCATGTACCGCAGGGTCCTTCTCCAGCTCAATCATACAGAGCTTTCCAGACAGGCTACCATAACGCTGAAGCATCTTTTCTGGGAGAGGCAAAAATAACCAACAAGAGGCTGTTAGGAGAAAGACATGATGGGTACGTCACATAAAAAAGGGAGGTGTGGAACACTATGTGTAATGACTGACACTTCATGTGAAGAGGAGGCATTACAGCCCGGAGGAGCTCTGTGTGAGTGTGTGTTGCTGCAATTTGTCCAGAAGGGATGATGTCAGTCATGTTGAAGGAAAGGTGACAGATGTCTGTGTTTTTGTATATAGCACATACTGTATATAGAATGACTGGATTTGGCTCTTGCCAAGAGAAGAGCCATGTGTGGGCATTTGTATGGGTGCACGTGCTCCTTATCGTTAAATAAAGATGATGAAACCATGCTTGTGTGGGTTTCTGAGTGCCTGGTAATTAATCTGTGTGTGCACGCTGTGTTTTTATCTACGTGCTTTTGCAAAAGAGCACAAATATTTGCATGACTCATACGTATTAACATATATGTTAATGAGCATGGTTGAGATAGTCTCTTATAAATGTGCCCTATGGAGTTTATGACCTGTAACTGCACCATTGTTTCATGTATTTATGAGAAGGTTTCTTTTCTTTTTTAGCATGCATGTGCATAATCAAATATTTGAATCAACAGATCAAGGTTAATTTTCAACTACAGATAAATAACTAACTCTACAAACATATCATAGCTTTGGTTGACCTTGAATTTGAATGGCTTGTAAAAAATGGCTTTTGGGGGCTTTTATCTCACTCATAACACTCTTCCTGATTGTAAAAACTCAAAGAGTAATTTCTCAATGTGTTTAAGAATCTGGCATTCTTATTCTTGGATGTGTAGCATTATCTCTTTTTGGGCTAGAGAGAATAATCTACGGACCCTGTAATTACAGCTTTCTCAAACCACCTTGTACTCCCTCTCCCTTTCACACTTTCATGCTGTTTTCATGTTTGCGTGGAGGGTCCGCCTCATGGAGTGCTGTTCAAAACCTCTGAGTGTGGTGTTAGAGTGGGTTGTTAGACCCTCCAACAGCAAGTCTGCACCACAGCTTGCTTACTAAGCATGTGTAAGGAGGCCATGTGAGGCATTTGTTTTCGGCTGAATCTCTGAAAATGAAAGTGTCACAATTCAACCTGTCACTTTCCAACGTTGAAAACAGCATGCGTGATTTTAAAACTCTGTATTTAGCTTACATGTCCCCTGATGTTGAAGTTATTGATGAATACTTGTTTGGTGTTTCACTTGCCACAGGGGAAAAGGCTATTACAAAGAAATGGTTGATGCAGGTTGTACCAACAATAAATGACTGGATAGACTTGACTGTTGAGAAAAGATCACCTTCTCTTTAAATTTAAACATGGACAAGTTTAGATGGGAACAATATGTCACACCACTGAGACCTGATTTTATTAACATATTAACTTGAAGGAATATATATACTATATTTGTACATTGGTTGTTTCTGTTTTTGTTTTTTGTGTTTTTTTTCTTCTTTGAAAATCTTCATTTAGAAATATTTACACTGCGGCTGCCTGTCTGAGTTATTTATTTATTTTCTTTCTCTTGTATAACCTTCTCTCTGGATGTATATAATTCTATTATTGCCTATTTTAATAGCCATAAAAAATAGAAATACTTTTAAAAAGGGGTATACTAAAGGATTTAAAGTCAAGAGTAATGTAAAGATACAGTGCATTCTCTTACTTTTTTTTTTTTCAATTTAACTGAGGATGTATTAAATTGTAGATGTATGCATACCCATAATTGTGAAAATGTTGGATGTGAAAATGCATTGTGTTGCAAAAAATAAAAAAATAAAAAAAATAAAGAAAATAGCATGTGTTTTTTGATTATGAAGTATTTTACATAAAGAGGTCATCAACTTACAGGAGATGAACAGATTGCAAACATATGATTAAAAGAATGGACTGCACACCCAGTATTTCATACAAACGAAGATGCTGTTGTTCTAAATGCTTATTTTTGTAAACTGATCATTATTTGTGTTTCATCAGGGTGAAGGGAGTCTGCCCCAATGCTTAAAGGTATGGTTGACGATTGGAAAGATTAGTAATTATTATGAACCTTGTTGTCATGACGATCATGGTCCTATAGTGCGATCTCCACAAAGTGAGGAGAAAAAAGGATGGAAAAATCTGTTTATCCTAGCAGGTGCAGGGCTGTAAAAACATTGACCAATGGGAGCCATCCGTCCCGGACAGCTCCTATTGGTCAATCTCCTGCTCCACCTCTCCATCCAATCACCTCGCTGTATTTGACACGCCCCTCTCCCGTAGTTACGACTCATCCCCTCCCACTCTCCTGGTCCTCCACGGAGCTCTGAGCAGCTAAAAGTGGAGTAGCAGCTTAGCTACAGGAGCTGTGATGGAGAAGGACGGTAAAAAAATAAACATTTCTGCTTGCCCCACTTCTTAAAGTGGTAAGAAAATGCAAGCAGAGTCGGAGAGAAAATTTGACCAAGCGAGGAATCTAACGCGAATAAACATTGGGTCATCCTTGGAGTGGTGGAGAAAGCTCCGCCAGGATTTGGGCCTGAAAACAGACACCAAGACAGCAGAGTTTTTGTTGAACAGGTAATTTTTGCCTGTTTTTAGTCTAATTTTAGTCTCTGCAATGTCAACATGGTAGCTGTCCAGGCAGCTGCAGACGGTGCTCGCTAGCAGAGCTGGTGTTTACTGCCACTAGTCACTAGCAATCCGATATGGTGAATCCTGTTTGAAGCTATCTTAGGATCTTCTGCCGGCTGACTTCTTGCTCTGCCAGAGGGGGTGTGTCGTGGGGAGGGGGGGTTATCGTGGAGCACAGAGGGGAAGGGTTTTTGTGGGGGGATAGAGGCTTTTTTCAAATCTGCCTCAACGGCTAAGTTTTTCTAACTGCTTCTCAGATCGTCAACCATGCCTTTAAAGCTGTATCTGCTGCTTCTTCCTACTTTAACCAAGGTTCACTCTGTGACATGGTGAGGGTGGGTGGGGACCTATTTCTGCTCACAGCTCTTCCTTCTGGGGGCTTTGGAGTATCCATGTGTATGTCAGTTTGACATCTTTATGGTGCAGACTTACCCCTGCTAGTGCTGTCTTCATCCCCAGCTGCGGGTGTGACTGGTGTTGTGACTGTTATCGGGCCCCTCCGATGCTTTCTATCCAACGCCGGGGAAGGTACCTTTGGGAGAAGTTTTGCATTATTGAACAGGCAAGAGTTGGCGATGCCTCAGGGGTCCTTCAGGCGTGAGTCGGACTACCCCTGAGGCTTATTCACTGTGCTTGATGTAGCAGTAGAAAAGCTGATGAACAGGATGAATTAATGAACACAGATTTAATGCTAGCTAAAAATAACATGAAAGATGACCAGAATCATGCATTATTTTGTAACCATCTTACAAGAGCAAGGAAAACTAACATCAAACGAATGTGCTGTCTATTTAGAGAGTTAGGCATCTCCACCAAAGAGAAAAACAAAGGGTTTAAACAAACAAGGTAGCTGCAAGGGACTTTGAACTATATGAGCTCTATCTCCAAATATGCACGTTAATTAATTTTTGGAAGTTGGCTTGGTGCAAATGCTAATGGGAGAGTTCTTTAGAGATGCTGCATACCCATGATAACACACTCACTCGCATGCAAACACACACACACAAAGATGTACTAACCTTAAAGGGGGTGGGAGTGAAGGGGTTTGTTGGGGAGAGACTAAGGAAGAGACCACTGAGCTTCTCTGATTCCTACGATCAGGAGGGGAAACACAGGAGGCGTGCTAAAAACATCACCACCACAACAACAAAACTCTCCCTCTCCAAAAACCCCCTTTTAAGCTTTCCTTTTGGAATACCATGTGGGTGTCCCTGACTCATCCCTCTATATATAATGTAGCGTATACATAACATTCTCCATACAATACTGGATACACAGCCAAACATCAGTAAGCGTGTGGGAACAGAAACTGACGAAAAAGGGTTTTACAGCTTGTCATCTGTTCCAGTGAAAACTAAAGCAGTGGTCACGACCTTCAGAATATAAAAAATAACTTGATGCTCTTCCACTTAGAGCACAGAACACCGTACACACTTCTCAGTAGAAAACTTTCCAGGCTACCTATTTGTAATCACATTTTATCTTCTTAAAACAGTACGCAGCAGCGCCGGTGCTCCAAGTATCTGGTAGATCAGTGTTACCTTGCTGCAGTGGGAGTTGGACTGCGCTGTTGAAGTTAGTCTCTCGTGGTTGTTAAGCATAGGGGACTGTGGGTGAAACACAAGATGCAGAGTAGGCAGATGAATATCTATATGACTGTGAAACCAAAATGCCTCAAATGGTACATCCAGTGTTATCTTATACGCTCTGTATCCAGAGGGCATAATGCTGTCTTGCTACAACCTTCCACACATAACCTTACAGAAACTTCGGATGGAGCTGTCCGACAAAACACAGCAAACTGCACCTTCTGTTTGTATCTGTTGAAGGTTGAATCAGCATAAAACAACCCAGTGCTACTAAACTGCAGTGTTCACATTCATGCAAGAGTGGCATCTATGCTAGTTAATAGCCGTTTGCAGTTTTCTGGAAGACAATACCTGGGATCTCTTTTGTGCAGACTGGACCAGAAAGACCAGAGAGTATCCTGCCCTACGGATGGCTTCAACGGCCTGCTCATGGCTGGCATCTCGTAGGTCCACACCACTCACCTTGGGAATGTCAACAAACACAGAGTGGGTGTTTACCTAAATGCATTGTCTTGTTTTTAAAAGGAAAATAAGAACTTTAGACAAATAAAATACACTAAGAAAGAAAAAATGGTGTTTTCAATGCCACAAATCTGATCAATTATCAGCTTTAATAACGCTGCAGACTCATTATCCACACAAATTATTCACCTGACAATGACCACGTATTTCTAAGATGCATTTTTTGTCATATGGAGAAAACTTGCTGACGTATCTGTTCTCATACTGTTATTTTTAACCGTGCAGTTAAATGGTGTGAGTACTGTACTCTCCTTTAAAAGCTGTGACATTGCCTCCAATTTCAAGGTAGCTCAATTAAAGTGGAACATGGCAAAACTTATAAACTTGGACTTACAGGAGATAGTGATTTTTCTGTGCAGCAGTGTAAAAATTTTAATGAAGCAAAAATGAATCACTTGCCAGAAAAAGGTGGTTCTTTGGGGTGAGACCACCTCAGACTGGTTCTATAATCCAGGTCAATTACATCCGAGGCCATTTTACTACAGAATTTAACATCTATGGCTTATTCTATCATTCATGATAATACAGGAGATAAGTATCCTTTTGTAAAGAGTTGTGCATTATTGGTTATATTTAAAGGTGCTGTGAGGAACTTTCAGTCTCTGTTGACTTTGGCGCCCCCTGTGGACAAAATGGTAACTCCTATTATTGATGATTTTGTAGGAAAGTGCTGTTAAAGGTGGGGTAAGCAGGATCCCATTAAAGAAGCATCTTTTTTTGTGGTGTATATACAAAAAGCTTTCAATATCAGTCAATAGCTATTACTCATTGATGACATTTGGTAATATAACGATATTGCTGTCTTGTACTGTCTTTTTACAATCAAATATATGAACCATCTTGAATATTTTGCAGTGGGTAAAGTAACTACAGCTGTTTTTTTTAAGTGTACCTACCCCCTCACAGCACTTAAAAATGATAGTATAGACATTGTCAATTTTATCATCATTGGTCCCATTGGCTTTTCTACATCATAGAGTTGCATTACTGTTCATTTCAGCCCATTTCATAGCCTATTAAAAACTCCTTACAGAAGCTTTAAGTCAGTTGCTGATTGAATTTTGTAAGTGGACGTAGTGTTGCTGATTGCTACACAGCCTAAGCTCCATCTTTAGTTTGTTTCCAGCTTGGCCAAGAGTTAGCTAGATTTAGCATTTCCAATACGGTGACCAACGTCTTTGGACTTGCTAACACCTCTGCAGAAATCACTGGGTGGCGTTGCTGTAACTACAGCCATGTTTTTATCACATTCTGTGATAACATATTCAGCTGCAACACAGCAATAGTGACAAGAATATGAACAAATGCCCACGCAGCTAAAAGAAAAAGAAAGGAAAAACACTTACAGGCACTTATCAAGTGTATAGAGGCATTAAATCTCTCCCTCTTTCTCTTTCTCTCTCACATTTACACTGCACAAACACACACACACACACACACACACACGCACTCTTGCCTTCTGCTCTTTCTAATAGCTGAGTTTCCTCTTCTCTCTGTGTTACACATAGTCAGGCACTGACACACTCAAATGCACACACATACACACACCTCCAGTATCCTGTCTCCAGTCCGGAGGGTGCCATTATGCGCTGCCGGGCTGTCGGGGCTGATGCTCTTGATGAAGACTCCCCTCATCATCTCTCCACTGCTCAGTCTGCGGCCCATGCCTCTGCCTCCCATTATGCTGATACCCAGGGACTGACCTGGTGCTCGAGTCAGCCGCACACTAGAACACACAGCAGGAGACAAGGAAAGTCCACACATATTCGAGTTGAGTAGAGCGCCCTTCTTACAGCATGTGTAGGGTGATGATGAAATTATGTTTTTTTTACGCCTCATGAAGCCCTTCTGGGTTTGAAGCATGACTGCGAAAATGCACAAGAAGGAGGAATAAACTAGTTTGTGTTTTTTTTATTGTCTTCTTTCACTCCATATCCTCTGCCTTGAGCAGAGGATACAGTTTCAGAGATTAAGTCAAAACAATAGAATATTATACCTGCCAGGAGAGAGACCCACAAAAGCCCATCTTTGCATGCAGTGCAGCTTATATGATCTATCCAAGCGGGATGCAATCATAAACACGATAAATACAGTGTGAAAGTAGTCGCTTTCTCCAGGCTAGAGAAATATGAGCCTGTTGAGTCCGCACTGGTGCTACTCTACCCCTCCTGTGAAAATAACCCGAGTACATGAGGATTTGGCTAAGCCTTCTCGGGCAAAGGGAGGATAAAGGACATCACGGGCAGAGTTTAGATAAAGCGGGTGAAAATGGAAAATCTGAAAAAAAATCTAATGACAAAGGGAAAAAAAAAAAAAACGCCTTAATACTCACATCACAGATTCACTAACCTTCTGGGCTGATCCCATGAGACTGCTGTATGAGAGTAAAACTCCTCGTCTCCCTCGCATTGACCGTCCACCTTTAACTCTGGCTGTGGTGCTTTCACATCTCCACCACTGTTGTCCTTTTTGTCTTTTTTGTCCTTCACCATCTCACCAAATCCTTTTGCTTCCTCCATTTTTAAGAAAAGTGAAGGCTTGGGGATCCGCCAGCTGACAGTAAAAGAAAAAGTAACAGTAGGAATTCGGATTTATTGGCGATATAATATGGAAAAAAATCAAGACCTGTACATTTCTCAAATTTGTAAGTCATTTTCTACATTAAGATTCTGTTACTAGAAGGATTACTTATCAAATAGCACACTGTATTGATAAACTGATTTAAAGATGAGTTTATCTACACAGAAAAAATAGATTTTATAATCTACAAATCATCAGTGTCTTTGTTCTAGCTCCCTCAGATGCTTGATTTTCTGCTTTCATCTCCTTCTCATTTTAGTTTAACGTCTGGTTTTGTACTGGAAGTATCTAAAAATACTATTTCAAACCATTAAATCATTCTTAAACCGTATTTTCCAGTTTTCTGATGTCTTGGGTCCTATAGATCTGAAAAGTAATTCCATGGATTACCCGCAGGTGAAAATAATGGTAAGTCTGAGCTCCAACTCTGTGGAAAAAGTGCCATTTTATTCAATCACACTTGCAGAGTTGCTGAGGATAACAAGGTATCTTGGTGAAGTTGTTATTTTTTTTCAAGTCCTGACACGCTGTGACACTCGGCCATTGGTAACTTTTATAGGCAGGCCTTGAGAAGATGTACTGCTTTGGGTCCAAATGGCCCTGAAAATACACGTTTTCTACCAGCAGGGTCACATTAAGGTAGTGTCTTTGTGTGCATCTGTGTGTGGGGGTGTTAACACACATATATAAATATATATAGAGAGAGTATCTTTGTATATATAGTTTGTGTGTGTGAAAGTGTGTGTGTGTGTGTCTGTGTGAAAGTGCGGAAGAAACAGGTAGGGAAGGGGAGAATTTTTCATGAATATATTTAACGGTAGAGGGCTGTAATAAGCCCATGGAGGTGAGTGATAGTGGTGCTATCTGCACAGCAGGAGCCTATAGCCAGTTAAGTTACAGAAGAGGCCAGAACAAATGGTTCCACCAGGCCTGAAAGAGAGCAGCCAGGAGAGAGGAGGGGGAGAGGAACGAGGCAGGGAGGAGGGGCGAAAATGAGGTAAAGAGAAAAAGAGCAGAGCGAGATGACCGACAGAGAGAGAGAGAGATGAGAGGCAGATGTAGACACAAAGAGTCAAGAGAGAAGTCTAGCAGAGGAGGAGACAATGTATTGAAAGATAAGAGTGGAGAAAAGGCTTGCAGAGAGAAATGGGAGTGAGGGGAGGGAGGAGAAAAGCAGAGGCAAGAAGATGGAGCGAAGGCAGCGACAGACAGAGGCGAAACAATTCATTTTCGCTGACAGTCAGCACTGAGATCCATAAGCGAACGGCTAAATATAACTCAGAGATTCAACATTCAGAAAAGCTTGTGCCTTTACCAGAGAGAAAAATGGAGACGGGAAATTACAGACTGAGAGAGACTTGCACGGAGCTTGTTGCAGACACACATTAAAACACAGTGTTTCCTCACAGATACGGTTAATTAAAGCGTCATATAATAACTCAGATCAGTAGCATGACTTGATCTGCCAGGTAATTGAAATGTCTGATGTGTTACAGTCATAAAAACCATGGCTGCTGTAAAAAGCAAAAGCCTAGGGTGGAAACGTTGAAAGAACTCCCATCAGACGGAGCATATAGAACATTTCAAAGTGTGAATTCTCTGCAGCAAACAACATGTAGTAAACTGGAGCCTTGAAGTCTTATAAACCCTGAGAAAGGTTTATCTCCTTCTCAGGGGGCCTGAGTAAGGATTAGGTGACCATAAATAACAGGCTGAGACCTCTGAATCTTACACTACCTTGAGTCAGAGGCGGGTCTGATGGTTGGGACCATGGCTGAACCTTTGGAGGGAGTGCTGAATGAAGCAGAGGCTTTGACAGCTGCTGGATTTGAAGCTGCAGATTTAACTTTGACCGAGGCTGAGGGTTTGAGGGCAGATGAGGTTTCCGCAGGTTCCACGGCTCTGACCGGACCCGGGGGTCTGGATGAGGTCGAGACGGCTTCTGGAGAAGGGGGTGGTAGAGTTGGGGAGGGAGGGCTGCTGTCGACTAAGATGGATGCCAGGGGAGGTAAACACAGACGGCTGCGGTGCTCGTCCACCTGGTGGGCTGGGACATAGGTTATACTGGGGGTAAGGGGTATGAAAAGAAGAAAAAAGGGGGAGTGGAAAAAAAAAAAATCAGAGTATTAATGTGAACAAAACTTTCCTGATCACTGCGTTTCCACAGCTGCACATTTGTGAAACTTTTCAGAAAACTAAGGAAGGGGCGGACAAGAACAAGAAAAATGAACAGTTTCTACACAGGATTGATTATTACCTCTGCCAGTGAAGGAGAGAATAATAAAATGATATGGTTCAAAGGGTGACCTTATGTTCCAGGAAAAATCCTTCATCTCCTCTCTTACTGACATTTATATATAAAGAATCATACTCCTCTTAGGTGTGTACTGTAAATATACAGCCACAGCCTCAAGCTGGTTTTGTCAGGTTAGACTAGAGCTGGGGAAAAAAAACAACTAACCTGGCTCGATCAGAAGGAACAAGAATCTGTTTTTTTGTATCTCTAAAGCTCATACAGCAATGCATTGTTTGGCACTGTAACTTAACATGATTTCTTAAGTGTAAAGGCCTAAACATCTTTTTGTTTATAAATATTTAAAAGCAGTAATCCACATATATATCGTAAAATTTTACAAATTTGTGGTCTTAGATAACAAAACAGTTAAAAACTGTCAGCCTGAAATGTTGGGACTGAATCTTTACTTTAAGGTTATAGTACTTTACTCTCCAAAAGTGAACAAATGTTTTTTAGTAGTGAAGTCTGGGAGGGTTCTGTTTCGATTGAAAAGATGCCTGAACCTTAAGAAAACAAGTCAAGGGTTAAAACTATCAAAGGAACTGCAGGCTGAGCTCACTATCACTTAGAAGCTAGCAGGATCGTTAAAGGGATATTCCGGCGTCAAACAATATTTAGGGTCAAACACACCGTAACACAGAGTTAGACATCCCCTCGAGAGATGAATGTTGCAGACTGCTTACTTCTCTAGTTTTACCATTTTAAGTAACGACCGCACGATAGCAATACACAGCGGTCTGAGGAGCCATACACAAACCTTAACCAAAACGCCACTCTATAGACACAAATAATGCTCAGAACAGCACCTAACTTCATCAACAGGACATATAGGGTCACAGACATAGCACTAGCCACCAAACATCTTTTTAACTTTGCCTAATTTCTTAAGCAAAGCGACAAAGCACAACTCACCTACTCTCTTCCAGCAGCCGCTTGTTTTTATGGAGACCTCGGACCAGTCCATTACGGACTACAGCGGGGTGACACAGCTCAAGGAAGAACATTTATGACCATTTCTTTATCATAAATGGACTGGCCTGAGGTCTCGCTACAAGCAAGCGGCTGCTGGAAGAGAGTGGGTGAGTTGTGTTTAGTCTTTTTGCAAAAGAAATTTGGCAAAGTTAAAAAGATGTTTGGTGGCTAGTACTATGGCTAAGACCCTTTATGTCCTGTTGATGAAGTTAGGTGCTGTTCTGATCATTATTTGTAGCTATAGAGTGGAGTTTTGGTTAAGGTTTGTTTATAGCTCCTCAGACCGCTGTGTATTGCTATTGTGCGGCCGTTACTAAAGTTGGTATAACTAGAGAAGCAAGCAGTCGGCAACATTCACCTCTCAATGTGATGACTAATTCGGTGTTGCGTTGTGTTTGACCCTAAATCAATTTTATGCTGGAGTATCCCTTTAACTTTTAGTGAGATCAGATGGTTCTGAGCAGAGATACACAGAAAGCCCCACAGAAACTACAAATTGCAGACTTTACTGGACATAGCTAAACCCTCACGCAGAAAGAGAGAGATGCTCAAAACCAGTTTGTGTTTTAGGTACTGGTGCTGATGATATTGTGAATTTTAGGGTAGGTTAACTTCTAGTTCTCAACAGTTTTAGATTTACTTCTTCAGACAGTCTTTCTTAACAGTTGCTCTAACACACTACCTGAGGTGTAAGCTGACACCTGAGGCACATTTTAATAATGCTAAATAATTATCTAAGACCTGGAAATATAATCCATCAACGACCACTCGCTGAGGCTGCTGTCTTGCGTGTCAGATGTTATAAAGAGCTCTAAAATTATACATGTGCACCGCCTCTTCAACACCACTTTTAAATGTAGAAAAAAAGGAGGAAAATGTACATTTAAATGTCACTAAAAAGTAGATTTTTTTTAATCATGACAGCAGGTTTCTTAAAAAATATATATTATGGTAATTTGTGTTTTGCATAAGCCTGGATCTATGTAAGCTATGGTGTAAATGATGTCGTTTAACTCAAGTGTCAAGGACATCATTAATGCCTCCCCCTCCTGCTTCCATTCTTGTGTGACGCTACCAGAAGACATGCTGTTTGGATCAGCTAAAAGAGCCAAATTCTCTCATCCACTCATGGTGGCAGACTGAATATGGAGGTCTTCTACGCTAAGCTGTTGTGACTGAGCCATGCAGACAGCCTGTCTTGTCTCAACAGAGGCAGTTTGATAGTGACAAGCCCTCACCCTTCTATGTCTGTCTTATTCTGAGACGGCCAAAGCAACTCATCTGCCTCCACTCCTCTGCTAGTTTGTCTGCAGTGCTATCAGGAGGAGGCAGTGTGCGCGGCTGAGTGTTTTTCTGTGTGCATGTGAGAGAGGAGATACAGAATGCATGTGTATGTGTTCATCTGTGTGTGTGTGTGTGTGTGTGTGTGTATCTACAAGAGGCTCTTTAAAAAGCTCTTTTATTCAGAAGCACACTGTTCAAGGTGAGATGAGTGATGAATTATTCAGAGATATTTCCCATCCTGGGAAAAAGGTGTTTTTGGAGGTTAGACCATTGAAAGTCTGTGTATGTGTGTGTATTACTGTGCTTCTGTACGTGCCTGTAAAAGCCAGAGAGAAAGAGAGAGAGAGAGAGAGACAGAGAGCTGGAGAGAGAGCGAGTGGGTGTTTTGCAGGGCGGCAGGGTAGTGGAGGTGGGGCACATCTCCAATCAACCAAACAAGCATTGTCAATGTGGAGCCATAACTGCTGATGTTAGAGCAAGTAATAATTTACCCACTTCCCCCTTGGGCAATCTTTAAAATTTCATCATCTAATCTAATTTAGCATGATTGCAGCGCCTCAGTCAACTCTGACTGCAGAGTCAAAAACAAGGTGGTGATGGAGATCCAGAGTGAGATCATTTACACAAGACGATGCAGTCAAAGTCCTGTTTGTGTATGGAGTCATACTTATATTTAGGACACACGTTCTCTCAGTCGAGGCACACAGACCGTCAGGATCTGCATGAGTACGTCTAGAAAATGTGAGCAGGATTCAATTACTTTTTGTCTGAGGTTGATTGTTCACTGCATTCCCGATAGAGCTCTTCTCAATCTTTCTATAGGAAAATCTCACCTCTCTTTGTTTTAAAGCAAAGCAACTGGCTTTAAATGTAGCAGGACTATGAAAATTATTCACTGACCTGGTTCACTTTCATACAGCACAAATCATGTACAAAGCTATAAATATCCAAAAATTGTTTTTTAACAGAGCTGGGGGTTATCTTCTGAGGGGGGACTTTAACTTAAAGCATCAGCGGGCATGTACAACATTAAAACGTTTTGTGTTTCTGTTTGTGGAATAAGGTTAGGGAACAGATTAGATGTGGACCTCAAGCAATGTCCAAGCATGACCCAGTTTTAAAAGTGGTACAAAAACATGGTTCTCACCAAGTACAGGGAGGAAGACGGGCTTTAACCATAGGGTGTTTTCATAAATGATTAATGTGCTTATTTATTCTATTTATGTTCTATTTTTTGTTGATATAATGTAAATATGTTGAAGACTGACTGTTTATTGAGTAGAGGAGAAGGGGTAGTTTTTAAAAAAAAACCATAATGCTTCATCCTACTCTTTTTCAGACATACTGGGTTTGCATAATTAATATTAGTATTTTTTACTTTTTTGCTTTGATTATTGTTATTGTTGTTTTGAATACTGTCATTGGTTTTGTTTGTTTTCAGTTTACTTTCTTGTGTAGCACGCACATGTTTGAAATGAAATCTTCCTCTCACAAGTTTTAAGTGTATTTTATCCCCCCTGCACGTCAGACCTAAGTTAACTGTTTTTAGTTGCAGCTCTTTTACCAAATTTCAAGATTAGAGATCCAAAAGAAGCAGTTTATGATGGAAGGGCCTCTGTCCATTTTTATCTGCCTAAGACCTATTGTTTTGTGCTGGCAACACCTGCTACCATATTTTCAGTGTTTAATATCAGATTTGACCCTTGCTAAGTTACATGAGTTGTCTCACGGTACTTCAGATTTCTCTGGTAATGGCTTTTATGTCTGTTTTGAATACAAACATCCATAAAATAGCTTTCACTAAAGGACATTTTACCAAGAAAATTTTAAAACAATGAAAAAGATGTGAAAAAATGTGTCACAGAAGTTGAGGAAATAGGTACTGCCAAAGTCCGTTCATGTGTGTATATTGTGACAAACTTTTTCCCAGATCGTCCCGCCCTAGTGTTAAGTGATTTCTTTTTCTCTTGATGTTTCATGTTTTGAGCGCCCTGTTTCATTTTAAGATCACTCACCATTGTCTCTGTTTCAGGTTTCTTTCTGCTCTGCCCCCTCCTCATCTGTGTGCACCTGGCCCCTGATTGCGTCTTCCCCACCTGTGTCTAATCACACCTCATTAACTTGTGTATTATAATCCCTTTTGTGTTCGTCTTGTTGCCAGTTCGTTGTCCTTCATAGTTCACGTTCCAACATTCTTCCATAGTTATAGTTATAGTCGTGTTTTGATTCTTGCCTGTTTTTTGACCTTGCTTTTTGTCTCATGTGTTAGATACCTCTGCCTTTTTCTGACTGCCTTTTGTGTGCTGAACTCAGCCTGCGAATAAACCTCGCTTTTGGATTGTGGAACAACATTGCAGCAGTGCCATTTACGCGAACTTTGAATCCTTTCTCTTAAAAAACAATGGAGAGTCAAAAAGGACTTTACTCAGAAAATACAGTCCTATAACCTATGAACCCTAGTATAACCTTTTTCCCTCACATTTTTACATCATGATATCTAATGCTCCTATTGATGTGGCACAGTCAGGGGGGAGAAAGGGGTGAGAATCATCATTGCAAATCAAATCTGTTCCTCAATGCCTCTGAAAGCAGTTCATTTCCTGAGATGAGTTTCTGATGGTTTCATAATACTGAAGCGAGATTAAAAATGTACTTTGCCAGCTACCAAGACATATGGGACTCAAAAAATGAAAACTGCAAAAAACAATTTAGAACAGGGGGAGATGATGTCTCCTGCTAAGCTGAATTCACATTTCTAGTGATAAAGCCATCATTTTTTTTGCATAGTGCACTGATAAAGAGTTTTGTAATGAGGTGCAACATAAATATCAAATGACCAAATATACCTGATTGGACCCATTTCAAAGACTGGATGTGTATTATGAATGATATCTTTGTCATTTAGCCCTGTGATTCAGAGTAAATCTAATAGAACTCCTGCATGCTTTTGAAATCAAATCAGTCCAAATAATAATAAAAGGTAAGAAAAAAAACACACAAGATACTTTGATCTGTCAATGTGGGGAAAAACTCTGGAGTAAACAAGAAAATTACAAGCTTAGACCTGCAATTTCTGGTTCCTGACATTGTGCTGCTGTTGGAAACCCCTCTGCGCTACAATGATTACAAGTCCAAACTTCTGCTGGGAAAAAAGACTGAATTGTAGTTTTTGTTTTTCACTTCCTGCTAAAATCAAAAGAAACTTCACCTTCAAACACCAGCAAACCCTGATGATGCCATGTAGAGGGTCAGAGCTATTTATTGTTCTCTACTTAGCAACAATTAGCAGCTGTGAAGGTTCAAGCAGCACTCCAGAGATTGTTAAGGGTATGACGCACGCAGTATTATGCACCCAGCCAACTTGTGCCTTTTTTGACACAGATTGAGGATTATTGAGGACAGGAAATCCAAAGAGAGCTCAGCACAAAAGGTTGTGCGATCTACACTGTGAGGTCAAAGTGTGGATCTCTCTAAATACTGTAAACCTGTTGGACAGAGTCTGGCATCTCACCTCATCTCTGGCCCTATGACAGAGAGTCTGCGGAGCATGGCTCGGGCTCTGGCGTTGGTCAGGTTGGAGGTAGGTTCTCCATTGATGGCCAAGATAGCATCCCCAACCCCCAGCCTGCCATCTTGGCTAACAGAGCCCCCCTGGACCACACTGCGCACCAGCATGCCTGAGCCATCCTTGATAGCACTCACCGACATCCCTGCCAACACGCACATGCACACACACAGACAAACACACACACAAACACGAGCACAGGTGAGTGGAGGGTTGGCTAAGGCTGCTTTGAATGCATGCCAAACAGACAGTCTCCCCAAACAAACACCTGACAGTGGCATAATCAGCATAATCAAGACAGACACTAGGCAGATTAGCACACAAACATGGCTACACATGCTTGACATTTACACAGCACCATCCTTCAGTCACACAAGCGAGAGGTGCACAAACACAATTACACACACACAGGGCACAGGTGAGTAGAGGGGGGACACATGCCAGGAGCATGGCCATCTGACTTTGGCATTATCAAATTGGACACTAGGCGGATTACCCAAACACTTCATTAATGCAAACAGGCGGAAGCAAGTAAATCAGGTAACACACACACACACACACACACACACGCACTCACAGACACACACTGCATGTACACACACACACAACCTGTAGTCTATAGCTCTTTCTATCTATGGAGGACTATGCACATCCACAACACTATGGTCGTACATAATTTGAATTGGTCAAAAAAATGACTTTGAAATGACTTTTTTTGATTAAATAGATCGTTTATTGCTTTTTAAAATTACATTCAAATTACAATACAATCATAGTGCATGGAATACATTCATACTGCAGACACAGATACTGACGCTGACAAACAGGAACAAACAAAAAACACAACTTTAAAGACACCAGAGGAAGTCTGAAGTAGAGAGATAAATGTCTCGTGTTTAGGTCTACAACACAGCATCAAAACACTTTTTTTCTATGGCTAACATTGCTAAAGAAACTTTTAATATGTGGTAAAATATCACATAAAATTCCCCATATGAAAATATATCTATGTTGCCTTCAATTAAACCTTGTCGAGATAGAACAAACCAACGGTCACTGAAATGGAGTTACAATTCTGGATTTAAGAGAAACCTCAAAATGCAAATATTCATGATTTTATACAAGCAAGGCAAGAAAAATGATCTCCTTTCAGTCCATCAAACTATTCTCTTTACAATCTGCCCTGGATGCAAATCAGTGACACCAATCTATCCCGCGCTGCAAATACAGTGCATCTATCTATTGGGCGTGAGGTCGTAGTTGCACCATAAATTGAAATGCAGAATTTAAAGCAGTACAAAAGAAGTTGTACCACAATAGGCTCAATTAAAATGAAAATCCTGCTGTTTGTCATCCTTACCGACAAGGATCCCGAACTCAGCCCATGCTAAAGTTTTTACTTTAAATTCAAGTAAGTTTATTTTAAAGCAAAAATACACAAAACTTTAAAAGAATACACTTCAGAACATACAGTACATTTACTGAATACTGTATATTTATATGTATAGATATATTGATGATTGATACTTATGTTTTATATGTGTGTATATATCAGTGTGTGTGTAGTGTGGTAACTTATGAAATCATGTTTCCAGAATACAAATGACTTATATCCCTTGTGCTTTGCATTGTGCCCTGAGGAAAATGAGCCTGTACTACTCAGACCCTTTTCTTTCTTGAATGTTTGAGTAGCTGTTAGTCTCTCTACACATTGTTTTTAATGTAGTTCTGACAACTCTTCTATATATTTTGACCCCCAGCCTTTCTGACAAACACAAGCACACTCTCACACACACACACACACACACACACTAGTCATCTCCACTCTCAGATTTAAGGGCCAATTCACTTTAACACTCCTCTTCAAAGCAGTCTTCATCACCATGGTCTATTAGCGTCATTAGCGCCATACCAGTGACGTAAACACACCAAGACACCATCATCATGAGAAAGACGGAGAACATACCAAGGCTACGGTTGCCCCGGACAACAGTAATTGTCCTCTCAAAGCTGGTGCGGGGGGGCAAGGGTGGCGCTTGCTGCCTACCGTTGTCTCCCATGTTGCCAAAACGACGATGCAGCTCACTTTCCTTAAACAGAGATAGAAGGGAGCGTTAGAGACCAAAAGCACGACGAGACGATGACAAATACTTGAAACGAAAGTAAAGTCTACAGCCAGGCTAGCATCGTAAAGAGGCTTGGGTATGACTGAGCGTTTTAAGCATGCTAGCATATGCTAATTAGCGGGAGATAGAAAGTACAGCAGAAAACATGGGCACTAGAGGAACAGTCAGAGTAATTGTTGCATAACTGGCTCTGATTCTGAGTCGTTAACCTCTAGCAGACATTGTTCATCTTATGTGGGTCATGATATTAAAGCTCGGGCTGTGCCTTTGTGGAAACATCAGGTAACTTCAAGCTAATGTGTAAATCTGTAGTTCTTAAAGTTTCCACTAGTTGCAAAAATGCCAAAGAGATTCTACTAGGGCCAAAAATTACAGAAATGAACATATTTACAGCCCATTCATTTATACAACTCATCCCTTTTGGCTTTATTAGGGCTGAGAGTTATATACTTAGGGGCACGGCTTATTTCAGGAGAAGGAGGCAGCATGGCTATGGCCCAAACTCCACCTATCAGAAGTTGGAAACTGACGGAGCTTAAGATTAAAATTGGCGTCTACTGGCTCTCTTCAAACCAATGGGTGCTGTCCGTGCTTTAGATAGCCTACAGATGAACCAAGCTGCCAACAGACTGTCTGACAGGTACTGCCATAAAGAGAGCCGTTGACTGTTGGTCAATATAGCAAACTTTAATGTGATGTAACTTTCTCCAGATCCCACAAAAAGGTTATACATATTTCAAAGATGATATTTAAGCCCTTAACCAGTCAGATTTATGGTAGGACAAAAAATATTTCAAACAACTGTTATGTCTCCTGGGTTAAGCCTTTGGAGTAATCCTAAGATGTAACACATAAAGGATGGCAGACTTGTCTGGTCCCACCGGCATTTCCTAAAGAAAAAGGTCTTGTCTTTGAACCTTCAGAGAACGTACACGCAGCACTGAGGTTCTGAAGCTACCTTTGCAACAAGCCTTTGATGAAACACTGACACTTGGTGCTCTGAGTCTTTTGTGAGTGCGCGTGTGTATGTGTGGGAAATACTGAGGTATGTCCTTGTCCCGGCCCAGGTGCCGATGTCGGGTGAGTCATAAGTGCTTTTCATTAGGACGCTATTGTTGGTAATTAAGCAAGAGTGAGAACAAAAGGCAGCTTCAATAGGATTGAGTTGAGACCACAATGGATGAACAAGTCTTTGGCACTGAGCACTTTCTCTATACCTGACCCGGTGATACTGATACAGTCGGCTCTAAGCTCCCCACTCTGTAGCGTACACACAGAGGACACAAACTGTCACAGACACACTCCTCTCCCCTGGAGGAGCTAAAATGGCTACCAACAGAATGTCAGGTTTGCATGGAAATGAGCAATGCTTCCTGTGTGATAGACAAGATTCACACCACAGCAGTGTTACTGTAACTGTCACTGCATATCTATTTTCTGCTCAGTCTTGGACATCAAACAAATGGTCTTTAAGAAGAATTCTGCAGGACTCAGCGAGATTTTACGAGCACAAACTAGCTTTTGAGTCTGAAAACTTTCACTTCTGTCGCTAAATGCTCTGCACACAATATAATAGAAACTCTAAAAGTATTTAAATGATTTCAAGAACAAAAATATGCACTTAAAACAGATCTGCAGTACGACATCTGAACTGACATTTTGTGAGGCTGATGCTGATGTACAGATCTGTAACAGTTAAAGTAAAAGGGAGCAGATATGATCAACTGAAACCATAACAATCTGTTTTCATTCTTTCAAATCTGTTTCCTTTAGCTGTTCAGTTTGTGTTGTGCTGCATGACATACCGTTGTGTAACACGGGTGGTCAATACTGTTGTCCTCAAAGTTGCAGGTGTAGCTGTTGATGTTAGCCTCCACAGCCTCGGCTAGCAGGCTGACCTGAGGGTGGGTCTCTGTGTCATCGCAGGAGACCTGGATGCTTCTCTCAGATATAGGCGTCAAACCACCACACAGCTCTAGCTGGAAATTCAAAAAATGTGAAATTAGGATGATACAAAACAAACAACTCTGCTTTTTTACCAGGGAGTGAATTTACATGGAAGCAAACAGGCTACAGAAGGTGACTGTAAATTAGACACCCTCTTCTCCTCTGCCCCTCTCTCTCCATCTGTGGTATGGTCGAGCATTGTGTTCGTCTCTCAGCTGCATTAAATATTCAGACTCTCTGTAACTGGATTCTCTGGACCTTGTTACTAAGCCACAGTCCACAACAAAAAGGACAGAAAATCCTGTACTCCAAAGAAAAAACATACATCTAAGTAATCTGCAAGTGTGTGTGTATAAATAGATGTCTACTTGAGTTTAAAAATGGGAAATAAATTCACTGAGGGTGTAGTAGGCCTCTATGAACTGTGCAGCAGTTCAGTGAAAGGGAAGTCCTTGAACAGTCACGATTTTTTTCCATTGTTATGCTGGAGAAGCAAAATGTTTTGATATGTTCATCCCCTGAAAATGTTCTCGTTTAATTATCAAGAGCACCAGCCACTTTAGCTTGTGAGTTTACTAATATTTGGCTCTGTATTCAATGAAAATTGAACAAAATTTACCAAATCCATCTTTAAAAAAAATAGAAAAATTGGAATAATTTCAATCTCTGTGCATACCGGCAGCGGTTTGGCAACTCCAATGTGGACAGGGCCGTAGCCGGTGGACTTCAGGACGTGCACTGCATAATCCAGACTGGAGCCTTCCAGATCAGTTTCATTAACAAACATGAGCCGGTCGCCAGGAAGCAAGCGACCATCTCGGTCTGCTACACCTCCGGGCACCAGGGAGCGGATTACTAGAACTGTTCTTGTAGCGTCCTCTGGATCCTGGTGTTACAGATAAGAGAGAAGAACATGGTTCATTGGAGTTATACTAATGACAAATTTAACGTGGGTAAGAGTTAAAATATAAACAAAGGGATTGATATATTTTACACAAGGACACCCAGATATAGTGTTTAGAGAGAGTGTTTGAAACTGTTCGAGTGTTTGCCAGTCTAAACTGCTTAGCGCACAAACAAACAGTTAAAGAAGTCCGTCTCGCCTTAGCGTTCACCCTGACTAACCCGCCTCTAATAATCGCCGAATTCATCTCCTTACGGTCTATTCTATTTATAGACAGGCTCAGGGACATGACTCTGACCTGGTAGTCCAGGATACTGAAGCCAAGTCCTGATTCGCCTTTCTCCAGCTCGACCACCTGAGCCTCTCTCTCCCACATAGCCAGAGGAGGCGACATGGGGGGCACACCACGCTTGGTGATGTCCTCAGCTGTAGGACAGGGAATGACACAGCCCTGGTCCAGCTGGAACAGACAAAAGAGAAAGAGAAGAGGAAGTCAGACGGATAAAAAAGGATATAAATACAGAGGAGCAGTATTATACGATACATTTGTAGTGCTTAATCCACCCATTTATCCTTTTTTTTTCTTCAGTGTGTGCTTTCACCTTGTCATTGAACTCAGCCAGCAGCTCTTTCAGCGTGAGACCGACCTCTTCATCATCTTCCTCATCACTGTCAGGAATAACAGGGGCTACAATGCGAGAGCACACCAGGCAGACATTCACAGGCAGCTCCTTCAGGATGTTAACCACCTCTTTGTGTGTCTCTCCGATCAGAGGGATCCCATTAACCTGTCAGGAAGAACGATTACAGACACACACTCGCTTAAAAAATTAGACACTGATTAAACACAAGAATTCAAATTATGATGCAACAACATAATAGTTTCTACACGAAAACACGATTAGAGTGTTAGATGTTATTGAACATTTACCTCCATTTTAAACCCTGTTTTGTTAGCTGTCTCTCTGTATGAGAGTAGTGACTAAACCTCCCAGTTTAAAAAGAAAAGTTGATGTTTTTGTGGTGTTTCAGTTTTGGATATCATGGAACAATTAGTAGCTGGAATACATCAAGCTACAGAAAGAACAATTAAAGCTGAGAGCAGTGAAAAAACCAAGGCAGGCTCATTTAGAAGCAGAAATGAACAATGGCTTTGCCGCGTTGATGCCGCCTGAAAGAGATCAAAGGGTTGAGCTGCGATACAGATGCTAGCTGACTGCTCGGAGATATGAAGGACACGAGCCTGTGTTCTGTTTTCTACACCGCAAAAGCAGAGCGAATGCACGTTCAATGGTTAATCAGACTGCTAATCATGATGAGTGATACGAGTGGGTGCATGAACTCGCCCCGCAGAGGGGGCGGAGGACAAGCTCTGCCTCAACAGTATGAGAACAAATGCACAGAGGTACACAGACTTACACCCACCTTCTTATGACTGTTTTTGCTGCCTTAAGGGAAAAACTCTCATACTGTACTCAGACTGTGTGGTGTTAACTGAAGTCTGCACAACTAGATTTTCTTTTTTCAAGTTTCAGTCTAAAATGGATTCCTTGGTTAAAGTGAAACAGATAAAATGTATAACTTCCATTGCAGGTTTATAGCCGTGCACTTTCGTTTTATTTCTACAGGAGGCAGGAAAACGACAGAGAGAGTGGAACCGTGAACCGAAGATAATCCTTAAAGAAAGCTTTTTTTATTAGTCATCCATGGATACATCTCAGAGATTTGACAAAATTATTAGTCCCACACAAATCACATCTTATCCTGGTTCTCATGAACTTTATTTTATTCTCAAAATGGATCTTAGAGCCGCGTGATTACAGCCAAAATGACTATCATAAATATTTTAATCAATATTCAAATCATGATGACCAACCACGATTATTTCTAGGGCAAATTTTTTTTTATTGCTTGTTCAAAAACCGGTATCTCTTGAGTGTATCACAAATAGCCTGCCCTGGCTGTTTTTGGCCCACACATTTGGTCAAATTCAGGTTTTCCTTTTTTGAGAGTTCTGACTTCATTTTTAAGATAATAGAGTCAAACCAACGACTTTATCTTGTAGCAAATTATCTTCACAGCCTGTTACTAAAAAGTTCATTATCAGAGCTTGTATTTATTTTATCGCTGCAGTTACAGATGCAACCTCCTACACAGTCTTTTTGCCCTCATCTGGAAAAGTTGACTTGGATCTATAACTTCGTACGTATATTTCATCATGATACTCACTTGCTCACTTGTCCTTCTGTTTTACTAACACATACCTGATCTTCTTGCTCTCTCTCTGATTGCTGCTGATGTTTTTCAGCACCCTAAGTCGTTAATCCTAGTTCTTTGATTTCAAGAAGGCCAAAGTCACGACCAGGATTGAAATATGATTAACTGTGCAGTTTTAGTTCTAGGTCTTCACCTCAAGTATTTGGTCTCCAGCAAACACATTGCCGCTTTGTCCAATGGGCCCCTCAGGTAACACAGAGCACAGGTAGTGATGTCCCGCCCGGGCCTCAAGGCTGATGCCAAGACCACTGGTCTCAGCAAAACGCTCCAGTTGACACACCTAAAAAAACGAAAAGAAAATAAACTTTACCGTCAAAGACAAGGACAGAAAGTTACTTTTAGATGTTACAAAGTGAGTAAATGTTTTTTTTTAATTGTCAAAATCAGTGATACATTTATTTGACATTAGGGAAACACATACAATAACTTCATATCGGGGCCCGACTGCATGCTGCCACCTCGTCCTCAGATTTTCCTCTTCCTCAGGAGTCAGTTTCACGCCTGTAAAATGCACAAACACACACATGACCCTGATGTCACACCGATACACCATCTACTTCCTTATTAACACTTTTATCCCATCCTAGCTTCAGCCAATCAATAAAGAGTTGCATCCCAAATGAAATCATCACCTCTGCTGTTTTATATCGGGGCGAAGATATTTCCCCTTGTTGCAAAGCCGGATGTCACCCACAACCACTGACACATGGACACAGACGCAGTAAAGGCACACATATTTACACCCACCATCTTTTGATTTCTGTGCAAACTAATGTTTTCCCTGTTCATTTATTAAAGCCTCACAGCAATCAGGGCTTATTTGGCTGTGCTCTCTAATCAAGCCCAAAAACCCTCGTCTAAATATGCAGGCGGGACGAGAGACAAATCATCTGGAATGAGCTGAAGGAGTTGGATAAACACATGACTGCACACTACTATAAATAGACTCTCATCAAAGAGCATGCTTTACTGCCACATCGCTGTTCCCTGAGCCCAATCAGTATATCAGACTAAGTCCCATGATCCAGTTCCAGACTGCAGTGCAGTATGGGAAAGTGGAGCCTACCTTTTCTGGGATCATGACGCGGTTGTCTGGTGGTGTACGCTCGACGGGAGATTTCACGCAGCGAGCTCATTCCTGGGAGACAGGGGGGATGTGTTTGAGTGCACAAGAACGGATCCAAACACTCATACAGACACTTGGGTTGAAAAATATGACAATTAGAAATCCCCAGCTAATGTTTTGACGATGAGAACACACATAAGGTGGCACTTTCATCATCAGGCAAAGTGGAGTCAACAAAATATGTTTTGCCCCTGATCTAAATATATTCAAGCAGACAGGGCAGATAAGCTTCGGTGGATCATTACTTGCATAATGAATTCCGCTGTGAATAACACTCCATTTATTTGGTCTATTCCTTCAAAAACTATCTTCTTATGAAACATTGAGCCAATAATTTCAACACCTGTCTCTTGAATCTTGTTGAGGCCAAATCTGTAGGGGTTGCCCTCGTGAAAGCTGTGCGAGTGTCGGAGGGGATGCAGGGGTGGAACTGGCGGCAGGATGTGACTCAGTCGGACAGCCTTCCTCAGCAGCTTCAGTCTGACCAGAGGACCTGTCCTCTTCAGGACCTCCATGGCACGCTGCTCACTGCAGCCCTGCAGGCTCACTCCATCCACCTAAAGCACAAGTGATGTTAAAGTTACGGAAAGAGCAGGAATATAAAATATAAAAAACAGGTCTAATATAGACAGAAGCAAACTTTTTGTAAATAGATGGGAAGAAATGGAGGTACCAAAAGTGCAGGTAAATAAAAGAGAAAAATCAATAGTAATCAAAATAAAAAACACAACAAGATGGAACACACCAATAAAAAAGATATTTATGAAACTAAATAAAAGTAAAACTAGACTTATTCCCTTTCATCAGCTAAAATAGTCCCTAATTGGAGTGCATGAAAGTACTTCAAGTTGCAAACTGTGCAGATTCCAAGTTGCTGAAATCATTACAGTTTCACAGGGGATTCCATTTGAGACCACAAGGTATTTTTCTGTCAGAGAAGAGAATAAAACCTTAAGTTTTCTAGGATTCAGAAGAACTTACTGCTAAAATGATGTCTCCAATGTGGATACGTCCGTCCTGATCCACTGTGCTGCCTTTCACTATGCTCTTCACTATCACACCAGCGCTGTATACTGCAGAGTGGAGAAATGAAAGGTTAGCATTGATTGCATACGTGCAGCTCAATACTCACAATTTATGAGCATCATTTTAATGACTGAATTATTCACAGATAGGTTATTTCCTTAGTGGCTCCTGTAGAAGCCATTTTTTAATTTATGTCAAAATCTTATTTTTGAGCCAAAAAATAAGTCTCAGCTTAGATTATTACTTGTAAGGACCAAACTCATGAAAATATATGATTTAAAAGTAATCAAATGGGTTGTTTGTGTTGATCAATAGATTCAGATACACCTGTCTAGAGGATATTTGGTTATGGGCGGAGTCGCTATCTTTTAAGGTCAGCCGGCACAGGTGCACAGGTCAGTCTTTTGTTTGATCCACATTGAGACGAGCAGCATGAAAATGTTTTTTTTTTTTACCTAAAACAGGAGCTTTTTGATATTTTGTACAGTTTTTGAGCTCTTTGGAACCCGCAACCAGTAAAATAAACAGAACAACCACAGACCCATGAGTATTGGAATCATTTTATGAATGAAAGTGGACACGCGTCGGGACATCTGTAAGGCTCGTCTCATTCAAGTGGCTTTTAAAAACTGTTAAAAATCTGCCCCTACAGCTCCCATAACTTGTAATAATACTTCAAAGATCATGCTCCAAAAAGATAAAGCTTAATGAGTATCATCACCTGAATTTAGATCACCTATGTAGCTCGCAATGGTGAACCCCAGGCCTCGACTGTTTTTAGTGAACTGCACACTGTACTCGTAGTCATCGTTCAAGTCATTAGCCTGAAAAATAGCACAGATAGAAAAACCCAATACACTTCTTTAGAATTTAATATCACAGATATTCTTATTATTTTGCACAAAAACTCTATATTTGACATGCACCATGGGATGTTATTCTCAAAATGCACACAAACAAACCTTGTCATCCGAGCTGTCCTGGCCAAGGGCAGGAGAGGAAAGGTGGGTGTCCTTGGTAACATCCCTAGCAATGAGCAGCTTCACCTTGCTACCAGCATTTCGCAATACCTGCGCCAGGTGGTCATTTGTGAACAGATCAGAAAGTAAAAGCGCGTGACAAGAATGACAAATAACAAAGGGCTGAAAATTAAAATGTCAACTGCCCTGAAAAAAACTGAGAATGAGCTCTGATTGGAAATGTTTTATTGACTGCATGAGAAACTGGTCCAAAGAACTGCATAGCACCAACATCTCAGTAGAGTTATATGTCAATGAAGGGATTATGATTCAGTGTCTTATTGTCTTTAATGGGGTCAATACTGTCCCGAAGCTGTCCACTAGTGCAAACCAACAGCGACTGCTGATTAGGGCAACAGTTAGAGTGTTTTTCACCAAGTGGCCACAAGGGGTGATAATGAGCAGAATCAACACCAAGTTAATCGACATTGAATTTTACCTTTAAGTTTGTTTCAAATTAAAAAAAACCAAAAGATTAAATGAAGAACAACCAGTTTTCAGAAAAGATAAGTCTGCAAATCACATTATTTTTCTTATAAACATAATCCTGGGCTTTAAAAGGATGATTGCAAGAATTTGGTTGTACCTACTAAGACTTAGCTGTTATATGAACATTAATTTGTCTTGTGGCTTCATAGACAAGGACTAGAGAAAAAGCAACATATGACACCTCACCTGAGCAACCTGCTCGCTGTTCATGCCTGCCAGATCTGTATCTCCGATGCGTAAGATTTGATCTCCACTACGCAGGCGCTTATCCTGTAAAACCCCATTATATATAATAAAATCAGTGCAATCTGTTTTTTAATTATCCAAACATATTCTTTTTTTTATATTTCCAAAAAAGAGATTAAAAAACGCAATTTTTTCTGGTTATAAAAAGATGTTTTAGCCATTCCTTTAACTGGCTATTTAAGCTTATGATTGTTTGATGGTTGGATTTACCCGTCCAGCAGCTCCACCAGGAAGAATAGTCTTAACCATGACTCCTGTGCTCCTCCCTCCAATGATGCCAAAACCCAGGCCTTTCCCGTCATTGATCAGCTCTATCATTTCCACATGACGCCGCTAAAATTAAAACATTAGAATAAGAGGGAGGGAGCCAGAAACACATCAATAAACACAGTTGGGGAGTAGCTCTTCTAACTCTTAACTCTACAACCACATATTATGTGAAAGCTCACTGTACCTCATGAGCAATAGCAGACAGGTTCCTCCCCATTGACATAGTGCGAGAGATTCGAGGGGGGGTGCAGTACTACGAGATAAATGTCATGTGTAAAAGATAAGCAAACCTGAAGAGACACTGAGTACCCTGAGCAGGTAGTTATGATCGAATGAAACACTGAGATAATAAAATATCCAACTGTGCTCGAGTTTTATAACGCAGTGTAATTCTCTCAAATGTAAAATGTGACATTTGAAACGGTGATGTTATGTATTTTACAACTGCAGGGAAAAATATTATTTGGTTGTTTCATGGACAGAGTGCTCTTGGAATAAATTGTTCCCCGTTACTAAAATCCTTTTTAACAATACTTGATTTACGATGAATGTTTTACACACCTGTGATTCAGTGAGGATGCAGTTGTCCGGGTAGAAGTCTGAGAGGGACACTTCCTGTGAGTCCAGAGAGGAGATGCTGCTCTCCTTGTGGTGGGATTTGGTGCTGCTAGGCCTATTGTTCTCCATGGCCCATGTGTAGGAGTCACTGTGGCTCAGGGTCCTTAGGCCCAATGCCACGCCCTGGCAGGGACCGCAGTTCATGGAAGCAGATTTGGAAACTGCCTTCCCCTGGTTGGGCTGGCAGAGAAATAAAGGAGGAATAGATAGGGACGGGCCGAAGAGGGAGGAAGTGTAAAAATCGTAAGTAAAAGAGATTGATTGTTTGGGGTAGAGAAAATAGACGAGTGAAAGAGGGGTCGAGCCGGGAGGAGGAAAGAAAGATTGGAAGGGGGAATGGATGAAGGAGATAAAGAGATGGGGAAATGGATTGATAGAGGGGTGGAGACATTAATTGACGAAAGGAGGTATAGAGACAGAGAGGAATAGGATAAGTATGAGAGAGTGATGGAAGGGAATGGAAAGAAAAAAAGAAATTGAGGAAAGGAGGGCATATGAGACAATGAAGGAAGATGTGGGAGGGAGCGAGCGAGCAGAGGAGGGGAAGGGAAAGGAGGGTAAATGTGTGTAAGCCGAAAGAGAAAAAAATCAGAAAGATAGCTTTAAAATGGAGCAGGGAGGGAAGAGATAGGAGAGCAGGAACATGAGGATCTGAGATAAATGCTTCTGTTCAATACCCCCAAAACCCACAAAACTGATCCCTTTTGTCTTCTAAGGTTTTCTCTTTCACAGTTTAAGCGCGAGTCTCAGAAGATGCTTAGCTCTGATCTGTATGCAATTCAATTCTTACAACTTTGACACCTGTTAAAAAAGCAGTTGTGGAATAAAAAGACAGAGCACCATCAAAATACTAATAGGCAAATTCACACTCCTGTGATTTGCAGACTTAATCTTAATGCAGTATATTAAAACTTGTGAATTTTATTGAAGCTTGAACTTATAAAACTTTGTTAGTGTCAGTGCTGATAAAAATCCAGGGATCGTCTCCATAATCCAGTGCCGTGTTTCTTGGAATGCAGAGGAGCTAAATGACTAGTGGCTCACACAGTCAGTTAATGTAATAATGTAGATCTGTGGTGCTTATGGGGTTAGCCTATTACAGTGCACCACAACAGACTTATAAGGCCAGTGATTACCGCTGACAAACAGGTTAAACACCTTAATTGATGCTGATGTGTCATACCACAATGTGCAGAAGGATCAAAGTCACATGTGTTTGAATTTTGATGGAGCAGTTGATCAACATTTGGCGACATTTATGAGCCACCACCAGTGCCAAATCCCACACACATATTGCTACAAAGTTATAACAGTGTTACAGATGACTTGTGCAAACTCCCTGATGTGATAAACAGCCACCTTTTCCTTCCCCCATCTCACTCTCTTCCCTCCCTCTCTCTCTCTCTCTCTGTCTCATCTCTCTCTCTCTCTCTCTCTTTCTCTGGGCTTTAGTGGTAAGCTTAGGTAAGCTGATTACTCATCAAGTTCGGTTCCTGCATTCAGTATTTTGGGAACGGTTCCGGCTCCTTCACCACCATTCAATATACACCAAACACCCACGCGCTCATGCTCATGCTTTACCGTCTCCGCCGGGGGCTTCCGCTGAGCCTGCTGTAAGCTGAGTATATGATGGAACAGGGGGCTCTGCAGGACAGTCTTGAGCAGAGAGAGTTTCTCCTGTGCGGGGGCCTCTCCTCTCTCCTTCAGTTTGGCTTGCAGTCTTGCCACAGCCTCCAAAGCACGCTGAGTATCTGCAGAGAAAGTGTGTATCATTTGTGACATTCAGAATCAGCATTTCTACCGTCTGGCTTGGTGTGAGTTTCCATATGCTTATAACAGTGACTGTTCAAGCCTCACACATAACCAAACCTTTCAAAGTACATTTGGTGGGACAGGTGGGTTAGTCTGAGCAGTTTTTCAGAAGTTTCGAAGGTACAATTTGTAAAAACGATAACATCTGTCATTACAGTCCAATATGGCGTCTTCTGACTGATCCAAACAATCTGTGTTTTGGAGATTTAAGCAGTCAGGGTTTGTATTCATCTCAAGAAAAACAAAAACAAACAAACCCTGAACTATAGCTTCCAGAGTGAGATCTTTCAGCGGCTAAGTTTTTCAAATGTTGTCTAACTCCTGTCCCTTTTGAATTCTTGGCAACGCTATTAAATTTCAAACAGCAATTTCTAAGTTCACTCTTGGTTAACCCCAAAGCAAAATGTTCTTGAGCAAAAAAGGCTACAAAAACTTTATCGAGAAACATTTGGATGGTGCAGAACGAGGATGTGATATCTAACCTGCACTGCTTTAAAGCAGAGGCCAAATCTCAAAGGTTGCTTCGGGACATACTGCCCTTGTTTATTTAGCGGAGCAGTTGCTAATGAGCACAACCCACAGCTGAAGTAATTGCATGTGGCACAGGGTTACGACCTTGTAAACTCTTCACCACAAAGTTTTGCCTATCAACCAGACTGTGAGTGCTGTGCCACCTGCACATGTCACATTTCTCTCCTGTTGGGCTGCAGCCAGTGCTAGACTCCCTAATCATAAGCCTCTGATGATGGCAGAGGCAGGAGTTTAACTCAGGTTGCAGGAACACATTGGGCTTTAAAAAGTTGATACTCCTCAAACAGAAAAAAACAAAACAAAACAAAACGAAACATACATACCCATGATCTCGATCATAGCCTGGCAGATTGTTCAGCTCTTGTGTTGTCTTTGTGACTTTGTGTTTCGGTTACATGTCATTCTTCTCTGTTTGGCACCTGCAACATACACAACAAAAACAGACTTTTAAACACTAAACATGGTCTTTTACAGTTTCTACTTGCTTTTTTGGAACAGCTATGTACAGAAATTGTCACAATCTTTGTAAAACCAAAGTACCAAGGTGAGTCTCCCTCCTTAAGATCTCCTCTCCTAATAAAAAGACACTTATGACAGATTGTACACATGGATAATTAAAGCAGCACATTACATTTAACATCTGTTCTGCAGTATGTATCATTTAACCTCTACATCCTCTCTCCCAAGGCCTTGGCCATGCTTGTTTGCAAGCACCTTGCTTGTGGACTAAAGCTCTTTAGCAGGATTTAAATCTTCTCCAAAAGGCTTTATCAGCCTCTGATGGTAATTAACAGCGACACGTGGCCTTCCGACCACTCTGACTTGAGGGGAAGCCTGTAAAGCATCAAAGCATGATGCCAATGACATGATTTGATTTGCAAAAACGATGGGCTGGAAATGACAACGTCTCATCTGAAATTTAATTAGGTGTCATTGATAGGCACTAGGGTTACGGCTACACTACCTATTTGCCCTTCACGGCACCGTAATGAAATCTATATCCTTATACCTGTTGATGTTAAAGCCATAGTGACCGCCTCAGAATAAAATCATGATTAAACATAAATGATTTACAGTAATTACACAGGCCTATTAGCAACTAATTCGGTATGTGATCTGGAAGACAGTTTGTTAATTTCTTTAAAAATGACCGGGGCGCATTAGAGCTATTACTGTGACGAACAGACGGACATCATGGACAGCTCAGATTCGCTCTCAGAAAGCCTCCTCTCACCTCCATAGCAGCGCCGGTGGGCTATCAACAGGTCCCCTCTTTGCTCCAAGCACAGCACATCCACTTCCTTCAGCTGCAGTCCGCATGGGAAGGTTACCGAATACCGAGGATGACACTCTACTAACGAGGCGAGTCATAACAGCTTATTGACAGTCGGCAAGTTATCAAGAAGCAAGCTGAGCGCTTTATTTTCCCGGCATTGTGTCTGCGGCTTGGCAGCGCTCCGTGAAGTGCGCATGTCACCCTCTGATCTTCAGGCACAGAGGGTTAGTCTCTCTGGGAACAGAGCTAGCCTCCTGTAATCCTGTAAAGGATGTCAGAGGAGGACAGACAATAAGTCTTCTGAGTAGAATTGGTTGGGAAATTGATAAACTTCGAATTCATTGAGCTGGTTCAAACGGTTCCTGGCCCAGGAAAATGATCAGTTTAAGATAATAGAAGACACAAATTAAAATACATCATCACAGAGAGTGAAGCATTAATAAAGAACATTAAAAATGAAGCAGGTTCAAACTGAAAGTTTTATGTTCAGGCAAGTGTTTTGTCCTTTGATAAATCCTTGAGAATTTTACAAGTAATCAAAAATATATGAGGTGAATTTATCTCATTTCAAAAAGGCTGACAAAGTCTAAAACAGTGACTTTATATCAGGGGCGGATCTGGGATTTTAGGAGATCAGGGGCTTAGCCCTGAGGGTGCAGATGCTGATTTACTTTTTCTGTCTTCTTTTGCTACCACGCACACAAAACTACAATTTTTTTTAACTTCAACTTACCACCAATTCAAAGCCGACAAAATACACAGAGGAGAACACTTAAAAATTCAGACCCTTTAATGATGCAAATGTCCTACCACTAGCCTTGTTGAAGTCACTGTCTTATGTCATGAACATATGCCTCACGTCCACTGAAAGAAGAAAATATAAAACAAAAAAGTTATTCAGACTGATTATAAACTAAAGATGTGAAATAAAGGACAATAAAATGCATCTTATTTCCTTACTGCTATATCTGTGATCCTGGCTGGCACCTCTTCCATCCTATATTCTCAACTCTTTTTCATCTGATTTAATATGTCGAATTTACAGCTGAACATGAGTGTTAATCTGAGTCCGCGCAGTCTTATTATAATAAAAACAATAATTAAAAACAATCATCTGTTTTCACCTTCATACCTCTTTGTTTAGTTTACTTCTCGTAAATTTAACACAAGAAAAGAGCTCAAACTGGCTGAATGATCATAATAAATCTGAAATCTAATGATTTAATCTATCCCTTAAACAAATGAGGATTAAGATATCAGATTATTCTTATACAATAGAAATGTAAAGCTTCATCTGTTTCAGTGTCAATTTCTGACTGTAACAAAGCTTTCTTTAAAACAAGACAAGATATTCCTTTACTATTCCCACAGGGGGTAATTCAAATTACAGCAGCATATAAATACAAAAAGAGAAATTAAAGGATAAGGAAACTTTAAATTAAAAATGATACATATATACAGTGGTGGCCAAAATTATTAGAACACTTGGCATATTTAAGAATTTTCAGTTGTTTTTGTTGAGTTGGCCATTAAAATACCCATAAAACAAATTAAATATCTACAAAGTCATCATTTTGCTCTATAAACCCTAGAATAGAGCCATCATAAGGAGATTTAGGTCATTTTCCATACAAAAAACAAGCAAGGCCTGTCAGTGTCACACAATCATGTTCCTTCACAGAAGCAGCCAAATTACTTGTGTAATCCTTCTCAGGTGTGATCGTGGTTAAATTGATGGTGATGCAAGTCTTAGGACACAGCTGTGTGATTCTTTTGAACGTACAAGGCCTATCCTGCTCATTAAGTGATTGGTAACATGAGGGTTTTGTCACTGAGGCCACACCACCAATTGGTATAAATTCAAAGCCTCTAGAAGTAGTCTTGAAGCTCATGTTGCTCTTTGAACATGGCTAAGGTGAAGAAGGAATTAACGAGTGAGCAGCGGGTTCGAATAAAGGCCCTTTTTGATGCTGGCTGGAGTTACCGCCGCATAGCCAAGGACTTGAGATGCAGTCCAAGCACTGTAAAGTACACTTTAGACCGCCATGATGCCACCAATTCACACCAGAACCGAAAGGGGAGAGGTAGAAAAAAGAAACTTTCTGACAGACAAGTGAAGCATCTCAAAATTCTCAGTCTTAAGGACCGAAGAAAGACCTCACGAGAACTGCGTGACGAGATCAACACCACAATGACTAATGGTGCAACAGTGTCTTCAAGAACTGTGCGTCGGAAACTGGGAGAAGAAGGACTTGTTGGCAGAATAGCAGCAAAGAAACCATTACTGAGAGAGAAAAATAGAGTGAAACGCCTGAAATTCGCTAAAGAACACAAGAAATGGACAAAGGGAGATTGGTATAAAGTGTTGTGGACTGATGAGTCCAAATTTGAACAGTTTGGCAACAAGCGAAGAGTGTATGTTCGACGGAGGGAGGGGGAGAGATATAAAAATGAGTGTCTCTTGCCAACAGTTAAACACGGAGGGGGTAGTATTATGGTGTGGGGTGCCATTGCAGCCTCAGGAACAGGTGACTTAGTGAAAATTGATGGCATCATGGATAAGAAAGTATACCACAACATTCTGGTGAGGCACGGAGTACCATCTGGGAGTCGTCTTATTGGGCCTGGATTTATTTTCCAAGAGGACAACGACCCTAAACATTCTTCTAAGTATTGCCGGAACTACCTGCGACAGAAGGAATCTGCTGGAACATTGAAAATGATGGACTGGCCCCCTCAAAGTCCGGACCTCAACCCCATTGAGCAAATTTGGGGCGAGTTGGAAAATAAACTGGACAGATCTATTGTACATTCAAAGGAAAGCCTTTGGCTTGAGTTGCAGAAGGCATGGGATAATATTAGTGTTCAAGTTCTCAAGAAATATATTGACACTATGCCAGAGAGATGTGCTGCTGTAATTGCTGCAAAAGGTGGACATACCAAATATTAAAGTTAAAAGTGGATAAAAACAGTAGGACTCACTTAATCTGATATTTGTTGTGCTCAGAGCAACCATCTGCATGCATCATGAACATTTTGAAAGGAAATCATGTTTTGGAGGCAAAAAAAAGTTCAATGTTTTCATTTCTGTCAGGTGTTCTAATAATTTTGGCCACATATATATATATGAGTGTTATTTACAGCTGTTATGTACATGTTTGATATGTTACAGATGAACAGTTGGAGATATTTACAAAAATATCAATCAAATAAAAAATAAAGTTGAATATTTACATCTACATTTCAGTTTATTTGTTATTTACATTGTTTTTTAGTGTTTGTTTTTTTTTGTATTTAATTAGTTTAATGAAGCAGTGAGCATTCAGTCATCTCTAACTGGATTCGCTCTAAGACCCTGAGACCCCAGTTCTGGTTTGGGGGTGTCAAACTTAGTGAGACTGCTCTGGAGCAGGTGTGGGTGTTAAAGGAAGTGGGGACCAGAGCAGCTCAGTATGGTTCGTCTCTCTGGTATATGAGGCATTTCAGTCCAGGGACACAGGTCTGTCTCTCTGCAGTTCATCAACCCTCAGATTACTGTTCATATTCTACAGACTGAAACTCACTTCTACTTGAGTTTGTCTGGCATACCTCAGCTGTCTGCAAAGAAAACTGTAGACTAATTAATTAAATAAGATTGAACGTTTATCTCAGACACACAGTCTTCCTGTTGTCTGTTGAGTTAGTCCAAAAACAGAGTTTTGTTCATTAAATAGAAAAACAAACAAAAATCTGCCATTTTCAATAAAATAAATGACCACCTCAAATGTTTTCTTACGTTTCTGTCAGTGCAAACTACATTTTGCAATGCTTGCTGCTTCACTCAGAGACTTGAGACTTAACCTGCCCCTCAGGGTCTTCAGCCTCAGTAAGTGACTCGTTACCGTCTCTTGCTTCCAGACGTTTTCATTTCTCCTCCAGAAGAGAGTTATTTAACTGGAGTGTCCTCAGACGACCTGCACATCAGAAGACAAAACACTTGGATGTTAAGATTCTTGAGTGATCTTCCAGAAACTTCCTGCCTGGTTTCCACTTTTCTCTTCAGCTCCACCCACCAGGCTTAACTGCGGCACATAATGCATTGGGAATCCTCTCGACCTTCGCCATCATCTCCTTCCAAAAACTGTCCACCTTCAGAAACTCCAACTCCAACTGGACCGGCCGTTCCCTCTCAGAGTCCGGGGCCAAGAAGACACTTTCGAGGTGAATCCAGTTCCTTTGAAACCGCATCCGCTCATCCTGGGGACAAAAAGCAGGGCGATGAACAAACACTACAGAAGAAGAAGAAGGACGATGGTCCTCTGATCAATGCTTTGGTGCACACATGCTCCTCCTCCTCACTGGCATTCATAAAGACTTATGTCTTCATATTCCTCTTTTGTGTGTCTCTGCAGTCTTTACCAGTGTTTGTTTGAAGAGGGGCAGCCATCTCAGCAGTCTGTCCACCCTGGGCTTCTCAGGAGCCACATTAGCTGAAGATGCCACGAAGCTCACACTGGCGATGCTGTCATCCAAAAGGACCTTCGCGGAACACAACACAGAGAATGAGATGGACCGTGACCTTTTAGTGTGTTACCACAGACTGTTACATGTGTAAAGTTTACCCCTAATTCTCGCCACATCCGGAACGGCTCCGATCCAGTACGGCTGCGATTTTCGCCAGCTGCCAATTGAGGGTTATGCTCCCACTTGGATTTCCTCTACACCTTCTAACACAAAGACATCTTTGGAGTCTCGATGAGGGACCACGCTGAACTCTGTGCTACACCACAGATCCTCAACCTCTGTGACATCAGAGGAAACTCTTCTGGGTTTTTCACATAAATCTGGTTTACATCAGAAGAAGTCAGAGACGAAACATCATGAGTTAAAAATCAATCAGACTGGCCAGGAAGTCCTCCTCGGAGGGTTTGAAGGTCAGGCCATCCATGTCCAGCATCAGTTTGGTCGTGAACATGGGTTAAGCCTCAGGAGTCCCTGGTCTGTAAGGCTAAACTAGACAAACAAAAACCAGATTCAAAGGTCGCTTTGAAAAGCTGTTTCCTGGATGATGATACTAAAGATGACCCACCTGTTCTTCCACCGCTTCTTCGGTTTCAGCTTCGGTCTCATCCTGACTCAGGTTCACGGCTTGGCGAGAGGTTCGATGAGCCCACTCACTGACTTCAGACAGCAACCTGGTCTCTGTGTTCACCACCAAACTGGGCAAGGTGCTCATGAACACGTAGTCCACAAGGTGAATGAAGCTGGACAAACCAAAACAGATCAGATTAAAACCACAGAGAAGTGAGCGTGACCTGAAGGTTCAGCTGTTCGGACTGAACCTAGGACAACATGTAAATAGCTCACAGATTTTGAAAATGGCTCACAGAAAGAGTCGAGGATCTTTACTTACTGTTTAAATAATGCACGAGTGTTCCTGAGTGTTTAATACTTAAGTTAATTTAACATCTATCATGGAAGTGGAGGAGCTCAAGTATCTTAGGGTCTCATTCACAAGTCAGGGAAGAATGTGAGGATGGATGGATGAGTGGATGAGTGTATGCTGTATTGTTGGTGATGTAAAAATAATTTTTACAAATCGGATGTTTTTATATCTATAGCGAGGTTAAGCTGCTTCAATTATTCCCTCCTAATATGACTAACAGACATATTAACATCCTAAGAACATGTGAAATGAGTCTTCTGAACTGATGATTGGTTGGCAGTGAGCAGAAAGCATTATTAACACATTGACATTAAGGTAACCGTGACAAATAAAACCTGTAATCCCTGATTGTAAATCGATTGCCCCTGGTGGGATTAATCAAGTCTAAGGTTTTAGCCGAACATTTCATTACCTATCAAACAAATCATGTTGGTGATCATGGGACATGACCATGTTACCTGAAAGGTCTCTGAAACAGGCCCTCCCTACCTCTGGATGTGGCTTCACTGTCCTGGACTTTGCAGTTCAGTAGAAAATCTCTTGGTGGGGCAGAGGCCTTTTTTGATCTTCCTGATGGATCGAGGACAGGGAACCATTTAAGAGCAAAAGACAGAGTTAAAGTTAGTGATTTAGAGAGTTTGAAATAGAATTACGTGAAAGAGTGTCAGGTCACAGAAAAGGTAGACACACAACAGCTGATCTTTGCTGAATAAACCACAAAATGTTCTTTAGAAAAATCCGCTTGTGTGTAATTTTAAGTTTTTAATCAAGAGTGGAAACAAAAATGGGAGAAGAGGAACTTTATCGATCTCCTCTTACATGACATAAACCATCATTACATCAAAACACAACAAAAAATGTGTGAAATTAATGTTATTCATTTATTTGTTGATCTATTTGGATCCCCATTAACTACTACCTAGGTAACAGCTACTCTTCCTGGGGTCCACAAGAAGACAGTAAACATTCTTACAGATTAAAGTGTTAAATGTCTAAACAGGAGAATTATTCAAGATGTTAAAATGATAACTAAAACAAGAATTATGATGACATTACATTTTCAATTACAATAGACACCAATAAAAGCCAAGATAAATGTACTTGTTGTCACAGCCTAGTCTAGGTGTTTCTTATTTCAGTGAGTCATAATCTCCAAACTTCACCGGTCACTCACACACACTCACCTGCTCAGGTGTTTAATTGCTCGGGAAAGCCTTCGTTAAAAACCGTCTCACACTTTCATAAACTTCGACTAACGCTCCAAGATAAGGAGGGAGAGGTTGGTGGTTTCCAGTGAAACGTTTGAAATAAATTAAAACCTCTAAATATCGAAATTAGTCCCACCGGAAATAAGCAGTTTCCGGAAATGACTTCGCGTAATCAGATAGGCGCGTTGGTAAAATTTCAATTTGGGTGAATTTATCTTATTTAAAAAGGCTGACAAGATCTAAAACTGTTACTTTAAATAGAGACTTCGCTAGATATTTTTTTTCCGAAGAATATTTACAGCGCAACACAGGTACCTTACCTTTGTAATAGACGCGCAACGAAATTAGTTCCACCGGAAATAAACAGTTTCCGGAGTGACTTCGCATAATCCGAGAGGTCCGTTGGTAAAATTTCAGTTTGGGTGAATTCATCGTATTTAAAAAGGATGACAAAGTCTAAAATTGTGACTATAAATAGAGACTTCGTTAGATATTTTTTTCTAAGAATATTTACTGTGCAACACAGGTACCGTACCGTTGTAATAAACGCGCAATGAAATTAGTCCCACCGGAAATAAGCAGTTTCCGGAAATGACTTCGCATAATCGAGAGGTGCGTTGGTAAAATTTCAATTTGCATACCTGCCACTCTTCCACACAGTCGGGTTGTGTTTGCAGCTGTTCTTTTGGAAAATGCATGTCTTGGTCAACTGGATTGTGGATTGATTTGGTGCAGCCAAGTAACGATTGACTGGCTGTGTTTAATTTATGTAATGAAAACGTAAACCGAACGATCCGAATTAGCACTGCCAACGTAATCCCCGACCAACGACGAAGTCAACCCCGTCTTCATTTCGTGTTAACTATTTATCAGTTTAGTTGCAGACGATTTTTTTACTCTGTTTTGAAGATTGTGTCGTTTATTTTTCGTCTTCTTGATGAATTGCTGGTTCTGGATCTTTCTGTGGAATCTGAAAAAAGGAAATGCAGCCGTAGCTCTGTCGTGTTCGGTCTAATTCAAACTGCGAGCGCCTCCTACTGGTCACTCGGGGTATTACTATTATTTCCCGGTACATTTAGCAAGAACAGTTCAACTTTTAAAACAACTTGAGGGCGAAGAAAAGATAAAACGATAAAAATCAATACAATTTTTTGGGGGGATTTTTATAAATTGCGTATGATATGACACTTAATCACACAGAATTATGATGAGTAATGTATCTATGTACCAGGGGCAATTTGAAGTTTGACCTAAATTCTTCTAATAGTATCCTTTCTTACCCCTTAATAAATGCAAGAAATTTTCAATTAAATTCGTGTTTCAAAAATATCTAACGTCATGTCTTCTTAGTGAAAGTCACTGAACATCAACTGCGTGCCCTTCTGCCTTTGGGATCCCCTGTGTGATTTCCCACGGCAGGTGGAGCCCTAGGTCCAAAGATTTAGGAGCCAGATCCAGTTCCATGTTTTCCATCAGACACCCCCACTCCATCTCTCCCTCTTTTCTCTCTCCGCATCCCCCAGGCAGGAATCATCACCCCCCTCCCCAGCCCTTCTCCCACCCTCGGCTCCCCGCCCGCCTGCAACGCAACGCTCCTCTCGCCGGGCTGCGCTCGATCAACCGAGCATCCACCGCGCCTCCAAATTGGTTTGTCATTTCTGACCCCTCTCTCTCTCTCTTTCTCTCTCTCTTTCTCTCTCTCTCTATCTCTCTCTCCGTTGACCACGGTGCTCTGCTCCGCTGCGCCCCGTGTCTGTGGACTTCAGCAGAAGTCAGTAAGAACATAGAGGCAGTCGACACAGATAAAGAGAGAAGAGAGAGGGCGGGAAGGATACAGACTGACGGATAGAGAGGAGAGAGAGAGGTACGCCTCTGTCCTCCTCCAGCACTTCACTGGACTTAGTGCATTTGGAAGGACGCGTTGCATCCTCCCGTGTGAGCGCTGATCGGGATACCAAGCACGCAGCTATTGGTCTATAACACCCTGTGCTTTATCTCCATCCCCAAAATTTTCCCCGCGTCCTTGTCCGTGTCAACAAGAATAAACTACAGGACGTGGATCGGAGGCGCTGATCAGTGAAATTATAAATCGACTGGAAGATATACTTCTATCCAGGATCTACGCTGTCGGGACTGGAGGCTCTAAGAGAGCGCAGGAAGGGTTATTCCTGACTCCTCTGTGCGCTGGATGTGTATATATGCGCCTTCATCGCTGCAATTGGTGATACGGTAAGAATCCTCTCTTCTATTTTCGCTGGTAAACCTCTCGGTAATGTGTCAACCCTGCGTCTTCCTCTGACCTGTTCCGAAAGCAGCTAGATAACAGCGCTGACTTCGGTTCTCACGGATGCCCATGGGAATGTGGCCTGCGACTATTGCACTTAAGGGGCGCGGAAATTGGCCCTAATGGACGAGGGAGTAAAAATGTATCACAGGTTTGGGATTTACACAGATGATGGTCCAGCGACTTGTGGCTGGATGGGCGTCGCTCGGATGGGAGATGTCGCTTATTAGGCGAAGTAATAACCACTGATACCTATTACCTCTTCGGTTGGTAATCAATACAATCACATTATCCCATAAACAAGGTGTACACGTAATTATTATTCTGGAGCCGCTTATCTGCCTCGCTGCACGGCGCAATGCTTTGGCATGATGGATGACAGATAGACGAAGTGTGCAGCAGCTCCTCCGCTTTTTTTGTCCTATTTTTACGCAGCTGTCATTGGAGCATATAGGAATGCTGTTAGTGCTGTTAGCTTATTTGGAGCTGTGCTGGAGGTTGTCAGCCGCAGTCTAAAATCTCGTGTAAATCCAGCCGCTGAAGGAAAAAGAGCATCCAGCAGGCCAGTGCACCCTAGGATACGTCAATCATGCGGCTACAGGAGTGAAAGCTGTGGCTCTTATTTACTGATGAGACATTCAGGGTTGCAGATGACCTTGATGTGCAACTGAAAACTAGTGAAGGTTTCACACTTCTTTGATCTTGACCCCGAGTGAAAAGAGCCCCGAGATTCAGATGTAATGTGTAAGTCTTTGCAATAAGCCTCTTATCCAACTGAAAACAGCCTTGTGTGTTGTGCCCCCCATACTTGTATTGTACTTCCTGGTTAATCAATTGTGCTCACCCTGACTAATAAATGCAGGTGTCTGTTAATCAAAACACCTCTTAAAGAATGATAATCTGATTGTGTGTACCGGCCTTTTTGAATCACTCCTCCAAGCACGAGTAGAGGTAATGTGTGCAAACAATGTGTAGATTGTGGTATGAAAGGGTTGATGTGGGATCTGGAGGTTGGAGTGCTTGACAACATGTCAACATGTCATTGCTGCAGCTAAGAAAAATGTCCCCAAAGAGTCGACAGAGCAGGTGGGAAAATGGTCAATGCAGGCAGTTATCAGTACAACTATATTGGAGCCGTTTTTACATAGACTTGCTCAGCTGCCATTTCAGTAGCATCTGTTAAAGCACAGGCCTGTCTCCAAGGAGATTATTATGTTTGTGGATGAGATGAATATCACTAAATCATCTGTCATCAGCGCATCTGTTGGTCTCGTAAGTGATCCTGCAGTTTCCTGGTTCTAGCCAACTTGATTATTTGTTTGAAATGTTTGAGAAAGATGTTACAAAAAAATCTTGTATGTTCCTGTCCCAAACCTGCTGTTTTTGCGCTTTTAGTCGTCTGGCGGGGTTGTTTATCTGTGTTTTAACGGCTGAAGAAGTGTGGCCAAAAAAGTGTCGGTGCATCCCGAATGCAGCTCAGGCTCACCGGTGAGCCATGGGATGTTTGTCAGGCATCACTCTATAAATGCAAGGCGTGTCAAAGAGCATCTCGGGTCACGTAAAGTTATGACACCCACACAGCGGTGACGTGGCTACAGCACCTGAAGCTGTATAATGTGCAACGGCAGCAATCAAGCATTGTGCTGACTGCAGGTCTGTGTGTCCGACTTTAATTAGGTCACTGATTCATTTCACTTGTGTATGATGTACAAGAAAGACCGAGCTCCTTATGTGTGTGTGTGTTTCTGTGTGTCTTTGTGTGTGTATGGTGGGGAGGGCAGTGCTAATTCGGATTGTTCTGCTTGATTGGTCGAGGGTTGACTTTCCCTGCTTGGAGCTGTTCATGTAACAAAATATTTGCCTAAGATTTGGATGGCTCCAGAAACTTAATCCAACCCTGTAATGGAAGCAGAATCTGATTTAAATACGAGATCATATGTTTAACATCTTGGTGTGCTCATTGAATTCTTGAGATGATAAAAATAAACCACTAGAGACGACATGATAAGGTTCAGAGAGACAATAACAATCACATTTACAGGCTAGAATATGAGGACGGGCAGGCTTATAATGAGAAGTGGAACTACTTGTGACTGAAGTCTCTATTTCCAGGAGAGCCTAACTTTTTTACTTATGCAGTTAATTCTGTTTAGTGGCACATAGAACCTCAAGGCTGACTCCCCACAACCGTTTTAACAAGCATTTCCCGAATAATTTGTAGTTTTCGGGATCCAATCCTTTCTTAAGTTAATTTATGCATGGCAAGGTAAAGGTTTGTGTCCAAGAGCCTAGTAGATAAACAGAAGCTGGTGTTTATTGTGCTCTCAGATACAATAAACCCTTCTTCCTGCATAAACAAATTGTCACTCGTGTGGCTTATGCTGTGAGGAATTACCAAAACAAATCATAATGCTGCAATAATAATGTGAAGTTTCAGTGAAAGCAGAGCTGCTGAATTTCACTGCACTCTTGCCTATAATGCGATGATTCGCATTCCTTGTCTCAACCCCACTTTGTGCGCTCAGTTTAACCTAATTCAAAAGCCTTTTCCTTTCCTGCACTAGACGAACATCTCTCTCCAGTATTGAAATAATGAGGCCAGATTCTTGCCTGTCTTCCTCATCCACCTAAAGCACTCGGTCATGTGTTAACACATCCGCCGTCCTCCCCTCCCTCAAAGAATAACCCCGGCTCTCTGCCTTTTCCACCATTGACTGGAGCTATCAGTTCACTTCACCTCTCTTAATGTGTGAAATTCACCTCCCATATCATTCATCCCTATTAGAAGTCGAGGCCGCGCGAGAGGACTACGCCGCTGCTCTGCTGTGTGATTGGATGAATGTTCAAGAAAGAGGAGAAGCAGTGGCAGATGACTGGCTGTCAGATTTCAGGGCATTCACTGACTCATTGCTCCTACAGCTTTGACTAGAATAACCCTCCAGAGATGGATGTCTTATTCTGCCTAAATATGGAGCTGTTAGAAGACTCCCTGATCCAACTATCACAGCCTATTACCTTTGTTGTATTTTGGGGCTGATTTGAGGAAACGTACACTCCTGGCGTGACTGTTCATGCTGATTGCTAGCAGAGCTATTCATGTACATCACTGCAAGAGATTCATGTTATTATCCTACTCTGCTCTTATTCTTAAAATAAATGATAGGATTGATGGTAATTTATCAGTTAGATGTGTTGGTTTGTTGCTCTTCTTTTCAATATTCAATGGTAAATCTAAAGTAGATCTAATCTAATCTAAATTAGGAGAAAACACCACTTCACATATTCCCAGAATGAAAGTTCACATGTTCCATGTTGTGCAGTTTAGAAAAAATAAAACTGTGATTAACGCATTTAAAAAGTGGGAAAGATGACAGAAAAAATAATTAATCATGAAAAAGCCTGGCAATTAAATCATTTTTAATTGACATATTGTTTACTCATGTAATGACTGCATGTGAGAATTACATGTATGGTTTGGTTTCAATTGTTAATTAAAAAAAAAAAAAAAAGCCTGTTGCTGAGGTCAAACAACTCCTATCTTGGTTATCATAGAATATAATCAGTAAAAAATAAGTACGTTTTTGAGACACTCTTGCAATGCCTGTTTGGCTGTTAAACAAAGTCGGTGAAAAGTCCTCAGACCTTCTCGCTGGTTTGATTGCATCTAATTTTTAATCAAGAGTTTTATAACAGCCACATTAAACAAGCCTAAAGACCTGAGGTTGCGATCCATCTCACAAGGGATAAAAATTACTGAGAAATCAATCTGTGTAAATTAATCCTCAAAGTATGTACCCCACAGCCATTTAATTGGATCTTAAACTTGTGGTGATGTGATGAGGTCTTTGGCTCTCCCCTGTTTTACTTCCCGATCGTATATAACTCCTAAAGAGAACAAATATTGAAAAGAAAGAATACTAAACACACGCTGACAGCTCGTGCTTGTGCTCGTTCGCCATTTGTTGCCATTGCTTTGGCGTGATCAATCTGGGAGGCTCAGCCGAGTAAAATCAATGTCACGTCTCACAATAATGCATGGTTATGGTCTTAAAGCTGTTTTTATTTGTTTTGCTTTGACCAATTGACCAATCTCAGACCTCAGTTTGAATTGGTTTTTATGTCCAGCTTTATTTTATCATCGTAAACTTGTATCTATTGTGGTTCCAAACACTTTTTAATGCAGTTTGGAGGAAACTGGAAGATTTGGGTTATTATTAATGTCCAACTCTGACCGGAGAGGCTGTGAGAAGGTCTATTTATGCTATCATCTCTTTGCAGTTATAAAAAGCAGAAATCAGACTGAGATGGCTGTATGTGCCACTTGAAACCCTCGCTTTCTACTTTTGAAGTCAACCATGCTGTGCCTGATTAAAAATAAACTCGCAGATATTGCAGCTTTAAGTCTGAGCTGTTAAATAGGAAAATAAAGTTTCATGTTTCTTTATCTACACACGAACTCTCTTTCACTTCTCGATGCCCTTTTCTACTAGCTCTCAATTCGTTTCTGAACTGCATGTTTTAGCAGCTGTTTTCTATGTTAGCTTCAACATCCGCGGCCTATTGTTCTTTGCAAACCTGTCACTCACTGAGTAGATGTTATTTTCTGTTTATAAAGGAAAAAAAAAAAATGCTTGTTCTTCCAGTCAACACATCTCTTGTCTACACTTCTCCTCTGTGCCCTTCACCTCCCCTCGCCCCTCTCAAAGCTGTCACCACTCAATAAGATGCGCACACGTACGCGTACGCACACATACATACACATGCATGCATTTCTTCCCACAGATACTTTCAACACACATCAATGTAGTACACATCAATTATCACACTCTCTCACCCCCACGCGTACACACACACACACACACGTTAACACTTGTATGCGAGCATTAATGTAAATGCTTACACACCCACAGAGCGCTGCACATAGACATCGCCTGCAGCTGTATATTTAGTGACACACACAGTGCCATTAGGGAGCTGAATGGCGAATCAGTGTACAAGGCCAGAGTGATTGTAAGAAGCTCACTCAAAGGTCTGCTGATTATTTTGGTCTCCACAGGAAATCATTTACAATAGCACTCACCCCCCCTTCCTCTCCTCTTTCCAGTTCAGTCCATTTAAACAGGGTGTTGTGCGTGTACGAGTGTGTGCGCGCTGTGCATTATATTCAAGTGTGAAGTCACTGTATCGATGGGAGGAAACTCTCCGATGCGTTGTTTGTGTAGTTGGGTCTATTGCGTGCTGAGGAGACCACACTTGTTTAGAGAATAGGGCGCATGGAAGTGAGTCATACACAATGTGATGCAACACAGCGGAGCAGATTTGAATTATGGGGCAATGAACAATGAGGTCATCACAGGGCTGGGGGCATAAATCTCCCAGTGCTGTGGTATAACACATTTCTTATCAATGGAGGAAACTACAGCCGGGTTTGAAAATGCTGTATTGTTTAAGAGACTTATTCAGTGTTGCAAATAAAGCCCAGGGTTGGCTGACTTCATTGGTGGAGACAATAGAAGGGGAATTCAATGATAATGTTTTTTGAGCATGGTTTATTTTACTTCCTACAGTTACAATTTGTTCAAGATTATTTAGAAATACGCCACATTCTTTGCAGATTATAAAAAAAAAGTTTCCCTTTCCTCCAGCATTTAAAGTGTTTGCACGCCTCTTACATCCACCATGCTGCATCGAATGATATTTTCCATATCTTTTCCCTCTTCAGCAGATTGTCCACAATCAGCGTCTGCTGTAATACCATCATCCCCAGGCCCCTCTTAAATTTCCTGCTTACTGGGCTTTTACTTTAACTGCATTACATACATCTTCCACTCCCCGCTCATCTGGTTCCTTTCAGCATAAACCAGGCTGAAAGATAGATCTGACTTGAAGCATTTCTTGATGCGACTGGTCGTTTGAGGGCAAATTTGAGAAAATAATAATGTCGTCATTTATTGTGCCTGTTCAGTGGCACAGCTGCGATCTTGATTGATATCGAATGGTGTTTTCATTCCAAGTCTTCGAGAGTGAGAATATGTGCCAGGAAGTATTGATCTGGAGCTCAGTTGATGGTGCAGTGTGATAGGCCGAAGGAGGGCGAGGATGACTAGATGGTCATGCTTGATGGAACAAAGATATTAAAAGACATTGTTGTGATCAATGGCCTTGTAATGTGTGTTTACATCATTTGCCCTGTTTTGTGTTTTAACCCTCATATTATTGAGCTGACTAGCCTTGTCCCAGGTGTAATTATAGCACCCCACGCTGCCTCGGGTTAAATCCCCTTTGACTGAACAACTCTGACGTGGGGAACGCTGTTCAGACCTGCTAGGCTACTGTTAGTGAATCCACAGCTCCAGCCAAGGACAATACAACTCATTTGAGATAAAGGCGCTGTGTCCTTTTGGCGTGTATCAGCAGCCGTCAATTGGTCCCTGACGTATCTTTCACATTTTGCAATAAAACCATTTTACCACCCCTGTGTTTTGCAAGGCAGCCTGATAGTGTCACACCAAGACGGATGAGCAGCACTCTGGCCTGTGGGCCTGCAGCAATAACTTATACGGACCATGTGTCTGCTTTCAAACCATGTAAGAAATTGTGTGCCTGTTGCCCTGCAGTGCGTTAACGTGTGTTCTGAACCCTCTGATTGTGTCTTTTTCAGATGGATTTGTATGATAGATGGACAGCATCCATCACATGTATCAAGATGAGAGTGAAGGGGAATTGGACAAGGCCCCTCATTGTCGAATGAGGCTGTGCTGAAAGCATCCTTTGATAAATGGTATTTGAACCAAACTTTGTGTAAAACCCGTGTCAGGCAATTACTACAGGCTGTTTTTATGGTTAGAAATGATATATGTTGATGGTTTATTTTCCTTTTTGTG